TGAACTCTGGGCCTGGGCGCTGTCCCTCAGCTCTTCAGCTCAAGGCAAGTACTCTACTGCTTGAGCCATAGCGCCACTTCCGGTTTTCGAGTGGTTTATTGGCGATAAGTGTCTCACAGAGTTTCCTGCCCTGGCTGGCTTTGAACTCGATCCTTAGATCTCAGCCTCCTGAGTAGCTAGGATTACAGGCGTGAGCTGCCAGCGCCTGGCTAAGCCAGTCTTACACATGGTAGTCAAGCACTTCCTCCACACCCTCCACTCCAAGGTGTTGGTTTTTGTATTGCTTTAGGTGGTCACCTTTTTATTTCCAGTATCATTTTGCATGGTTTTATGTTTACCTTAAGTAGAGCCTTGTCAAAAAAGCATTTGGGGAATGTATGTCAAGATGTAACAAATATTCTGTATCTTCAGGTTCTGAGCTGTGAAGCTAATATTAATGTTACTGTTAGATACAGTGTTCTCTGTAATATTTCCTCAAGGGACTTTCAAAAGAAGCTTATCTCTGAGAATCTGACCTTGATACTTACACTGATTTATAGGAACTGGAGGCCACTAAATGTATTTTCTTCTCTTGGATCTAAGTCTTACTTTTGAAAGATCTTCCTTCCTATCCGTTACCCCAAGGGTATATTTGTATGTGTCATTGATTGGAGCTGGCTACTTACCATCCTATTAAATCAGATTAGATAACACTCTACCAATGTTACTGTAAGCTGCATTGAGCTAATATTTCTTAACTTGCTACTAAGTAAGTAAAACAATTAAGGAACAGACACAAGAATGTTAGGGCTCAGGCCTGGTTATTAATGCATTATAGTTTGTTCATAACCCTCTGGTACAATTATGGTGTGAGTTGGCCATGTGTGCAGTAACCTTGCTATTAAATCTCACATATGCAAAAAAGATATAGATCTGTTTGTATTATTAACATTATTCTGAAATGGTTATTTTAATGTGTTTTTTGTTTTGCTTCCTTACCAACAGTATAACCCTGGGAAAAAATTTTTTTAACTTATAAATCCCAATAATCTTAGTGTAATAACCATTGTATTGTGACCAGTAAAACTAAGTAAAATGAACCAGTTATAGAGATTGAATTTTTCATGATTTTATTTACATAAGGAGGTAGGTGGTGTAGTCAAAAATCTTAGAAACAGAAAGCAGAATGGTAGTTGTCAGGGGCTAAGGAGAGGGAAGAGGAGAGTTGTTCAGTGGGCATAGCATTTCAATTTTGCCATGTGAAAAAGTCTGAGATCTGTTGTTCAGCAATGTGAATAGAACTATGTTATCTTGTTCTCTTTTTGTTATAACAAAATACTTAAGGCTGGATACAGAAATGCTCCCTTATTTTGATAGTTAATCTTAATTGTCAACATACTTGTCAGTTAATAAATATTTCTAGAGATAATTACCTCATAAGGATTCTGACCTAATGAATAGATTCCCTTGAATTTCCTTTGACTTTCTTTAATGGATTCATAATACAATGGCATTATTGTGACATAGTAAAAAGTAGGAGATGGAACCTGCTGGGAGGAAGTTAGGTCATTGGGGGTGTGTCCCTAAGGGATACATTTTTGCCTTGACCCTTTCTTATATTCCATTCCCTCTCTGCTTCCTTTTCACCATGAAGTGAAGAACACCCTCCACTACATGCTTCTGCCACCATGATGTTCTGCCCAAGCACACGGGGCCCAGAACTGTGAATTGGATCCTATGAAAACATGGACCAAAATAAATTTAAATTATTCTCTCAGGTATTTGGTCATAGCTATACAAATGTAAATTAGAGGCTAAAAGTCCAAATCAGGCCAACTCCATCAGTTTGGCTTTTGGAGAGGGCCCCCTTGGTGAGCGTCACCATAAGGGAAAAGCAAAAAGGGAACCAAACAGAGCAAGATACAACATGGCCTTGCTTTGTAACAACTTACTCTTGTGTTCTAGTTGGGGCTCCATAGAAATATTAACCTTTTCCAGTGACGTAATCACCTTTCATTAGCTTCTGTGTCTTCATGGCTCCATCACCTGTCATGTCACCACACTGGAGACTAAGCATTCAGCATATGAACCTTTGACAAAACCACATCCAAATAAATGACAATAGGTTATACTGTTGTAATGTATATGTGAATTTGGCTAAGGTGGTAAGTTTTGTTATGTGTTCTTTAATGCAATAAAACCAAAACAACAATCCTTTAATAGTTCCTAATGTACTCAGAATGAAATCTAAACTCTCTGCCTTTGTGCCAAAACCCAAACTGATCTGGTTTTGCTCATATCTCTCAGGCTCATTTTGTACTAGTGCTTCCTTGTCCATTGTTGTCCAGCCACAGTGTCTTATTTGCATTTCTCAAACTCTCCCTAGAATGCTCCCAGACGTTAATCTAGTTGGCTCTGTCTTGTTTTATAAGTCTTGGCTTTAGTTGTGTCTCCTCATGAAGATTTTTCCTGACAACCTAATCTCTTCTTGTTATCAGTTGCTCTATCACATCACTCTACTAAATCTGCCCAAGGTTTCCCACCATGTGCTATTTTCTTATTTGTTTAAGAATTTAAGTTGTAGGAGAGCAGGAACTATGTCTGTTTGTTCATCTCTGTATCCCTGTGTACTTAGAACAGCACCTGACATGTGGTTAGTCCTTGGTAAATATTTGCTGAATGAAAATTGAACTTCCTAGTCTTAAATGACCATTTCTTGTGAAGGCGTGCTTACCCTTTTCTCCAAGCTTTAAACTTGCACTTTAGAATTCCATTTGGGGGCTGGGCACTGCTGGTTCATCCTTATAATCCTAGCTACACTGGAGGCTGAGATCTGAGGATTGCTGTTTGAAGTCAGCCCAGGCAGGAAAGTCTGTGAGACCCTTCTTTCCAGTGAAGTTCCAAAAAGTTGGAAGTGGACTTGTGGCTCAAGTGGTAGAAGGCTAGCCATGAGAAAAGCAGCTCAGGGACAGTGGCGTGTGCGCACACGCACATGCACACACACACACACACACACACACACACATTCAAATCCTTCTTGACTGTTCTCATCTGAATACTGCAAAAACCTCAAACTCAATATACTCCAAACAAAAATTGTCATGTCCCTCACTGCTGAGTTAATTGTTCTATCAAATTTTGCTGCTTCTCTCTGTTACTGGTTTGTTATTAACTCAACTGATGAGGCCTGAGGTCCTTGTGTATTACTACTCTCTCTTCCTCTTCCCCAGCTCCCACCATTTATCAACCCTGTGGGTAATTCATCTTGCATCCTTCCCTTCCAGTTCACAGTTGCTGCCACCTCATTTGAGACCTAATTACTTTTTACTGGGACCATTTTTAAAACAAAGGATGATGAGGTTGTTGAGAAAAAGGGAAGTCTACTTCACTAGGGAAATTATGTCAGAGGATTTTAATGGGTCATTGGCATCAATTGATGAGCAAACCTAGGATTGTGAGGCATCTTTCAGGAACAGTAGAAGAGCAGGACGAAGAGCAGGGTCCATTTCACATGCAAAAAAAAAAAAGAGGGGGGAGTGTAATTCTGGAAGTGGGAGGGAAGGGATGGTAGGGGAAAAACAAAGGAGGTGGCAACAATGCTTGATAAGAAATATACTCATTACCTTGCTCATGTAACTGCAATCCCTCTGTACAGTATTTTCACAATAAAAACCTTATTTAAAAAGAAAAAAGAAAGGCTTTGTAAAGCATCTGGTATTATAAGTGTCTACCCACATTTCAGGAGCAAGGTGAGATCATAGAGAAGGTATGCCCCCTCCTTTCTCAATCTTTACTCTTCATCATCTAAACCAAGATATCGAAAAGATCAGGTGACAAGAATGGTAAGGTAAAAGCTTTCCACAAAGTTAAGTGTGTGGGTTTGTGTAGGTGCAAAAGTGGTTAGCTGTGGGCGCTTATTCCCCTTCTAATTTTGTCTTCCATCAAACACATTTCAAAAGTTTATTGTGTCTTATATTTTCCTGGTTTGTGTAGCTGTGTTAGCTTAAATAGAGCCAGTTTTCCTTCCCTCCCTTTCTTTTTCCCTCCCTCCCTTTTTTTCTTCCCTCTTGGTAAAGGTAAAACAATTATAGAACACAAAGTACTCCATGATATTTTGTCATAAATATCCTGTAACTCTGAGCTCATGTGTACACTTTATGTCATTTTGTTATGAATCTTAACCTCTTTTGTGCCAAATTTCTCACATCTATAAAATGGGCAGAGAGGAAGTGGCGCTATGGCTCAAGTGGTAGAACGCTCGCCTTGAGCTGAAGAGCTGAGGGACAGCGCCCAGGCCCAGAGTTCAAGCCCCACGACAGACAAATAAATAAAATAAAATAAAATAAAATAAAATGGGCAGAGTATTGTATTTATCTCATATAATCACTGTAAAGATTTGTTAACTCACATAAAACTCTTAGAACAGGTCTCTGATATATAGTAGATACTAAAATGTAGTGCTATTATTATTACTAACTGATACAACATATTTCTTCATCACTGTCCTACTAGGTAAATGTGTTTCCTTTATATATATTCCTTCTCCATCTTTGTGTGTGTATATATATATATATATATATATATATATATATACATATTTTTTTTTTTTTAATTTTCTGTTGGACGTGGGGCTTGAACTCAATGCCTGGGCACTGTCCCTGAGCTCTTTTGCTAAAGGCTAGCGCTCTACCACTTTGAGCCATAGTGCCACTTCTGGTTTTCTGGTGTTTAATTGAAGATGAGTTTTACAGACTTTCTTGCCCAGGCTGGCTTTGAACTGTGATCCACTTATTTCAGCTTCCTAAGTAGCTAGGATTATAGATGTGAGCCATCTGTGCCTGGCTTAATGTATATTCTTTTAAACTGTATTATTCTCCTCTGTGGTTGAAGAGCCTTCCCCAAGTTCATACAACTTGATGAAAACTTGGCAGAGATGGCTGAATTTCATTTAAATTCAGTCTTTTGAAGGGTGGAATTCCTTTCCTTTTTGGGGTAAACTTGTTTTTTTCTTCATGTTTCAGGTGGTATGCAAGATTATAATTATGTATGGGCCAACTGCTTTGAGATCACATTAGAATTGTCTTGTTGCAAGTACCCACCTGCTTCACAGCTTCGACAGGAATGGGAGAACAATCGTGAGTCTTTGATCACATTGATTGAAAAGGTAAAAGTCACTGACTAGAGAATAGAAGTCATGGATTAGAATAGAAGCCATGGTTGGTTGCATATGAATAGCAGTCTAAATTTGGTATTCTTTATGTTTTTTGTTTGATTTTTTTCCCCCAGTCTTGGGCTTGAACTTGGGGCCTGGGTGCTGTTCCTGAGTTTTTTTCCTCAAGACTAGTGCTCTACCACTTGAACCATAGTTCTTCTTCTGGTTTTGTGGTGTGTGTGTGTGTGTGTGTGTGTGTGTGTGTGTGTGTGTGTGTGTGTGTGTGTGTGTGTGTGTGTGTGTGTGTGTGTGTGTGTGTGTTTATGTGTGTGATTAATCGATGGAAGTTAGGTTTATAGACTTACAGACTTTCCTGCCCTGGCTGGCTTCAAATGGTGATCCTCAGATCTCAGCCACCTGAATAGATAGGATTATAGGCATGAGCCACCAACTTCTGACCTCTTTATCTGTTTTTATTATTTAAGATTATAGGTATTACTACAGATTATTTGATTATAATCTGTTAAAGCATTTTCTAGATGTGCCTCTTCTGTCTTCCCTAATCCTACTGCAGCTTTCTATTCCATGGGGCTCTCTTTGCCTGTTTTACAACACTTTTGCAAATGGAAATAATCAGTGAGATTTGTACTACTAGGGGTTGGGGTTGTAGTTTGGTTGTAGGATGCTTGATTGGTATCAGCAAAAGAAGCCCTGGTTCAATCCCAACTATCAAATACTCCTGACAAACCTGTACTGCTGGGTTCTTAAATATGTATTTTCTCAAGAGCCTTTGCCATTCATTATATGAACCACAGATATGAGTTTAGTTTAAATTTCAAACTCATACAACAATTTGATATACAACTATTAGATATGCCAGAAATGATATTTGCTGAAGAAATTATTAGAAACCTAGCTTTGAAAAGAAGGAATTTCAGAAGCACCTTAGTTACATAGATTCAGATGTGAGTGTATAAACACAATGTGTATACATATACATATACACACATATTTGTGTGTATATATAACTTAAGTTTAAGAATTTAGTACTTTATTTGACATTCAAGGGATTGAAAATACTTTGATAGGCTAGAAGAGCAACTTTAATTTCTAAAAGGAAGTTCTAGTATCACTGTAGATAAATGTTCTGTTGTTTTGCCTTTCAAATTGATTTTCTCTGAACTTTGATTCTTATTTTTTAGGTCCACATTGGAATTAAAGGATTTGTTAAAGATTCAGTAACAGGATCTGGGTTAGAGAATGCAACCATCTCAGTAGCTGGTATTAATCATAATATCACAACAGGCAGATTTGGTGATTTTCACCGGTTGCTTGTTCCTGGAATATATAATCTTACAGCAGTATTACCTGGGTAAGAATTTAAACTAGGCTTTTAAAATGTTAAGCTTCTATTTTATAGCTAAGACAGAAAAATATCTATTAAATGTTACTTCTTGTATGTGCCTTTTATTTTTCTTACTTTTGGATTTTTCTCCTCTTTTTTTTGTAAGGAGAAAAAAATGTCATGGAGTATTTTGTCACATGACAAAATGTGAAGTGTAATTAATGTTGGGAGGAAGAACAATTTTTAAAGCTTGGGAAGAATTTTAGCCATGTTAAAGCTCTGACCCAAGGACCAGAACAGAAGCAACCAAGGGCTCTGCAAATGGCATTTGGAGAACTCTGAATCATCAGCTTTCTAGCATATGAAAGGAGTGGTTTCCCCCACCACAAACCTCCTGCAAACTTTTCTAGAGGTTTGCCTTTGTAAGGAAAGGATTTAATTGATAACCTTTCATTTAATTTTGAACTTTAAAACGTGGGAAAGAAGCTAGAATGCCAGTTTGATAAGATACAGCAAAAATGAATAATTTATACTTTTGAATATTGTAGCAATGGTATAATGGAGTAATTAGCATACTTATTCTTTTGAATGTTATTTTTTTTAAACATTCTAATATGAGGTACCTGAGAAGGTTGGTAAGAAAATAGTTACTTAGTCTGAGATTCTCAAGAGATAACATCCTAAAACTCTTTTAAGTTTATATATGTATCTTTGTTTAATTTTGGGTGTGTTTCCCTCATGTTGAAAGTACTGTCTGTCTTAACTCCAAGCCCTCACCTTTGTCATTATTTTTTCAGGTACATGCCGTTGACCATTAATAATATAATGGTGAAAGAAGGACCAGCCACAGAGGTGGATTTTTCCCTTCGGCCAACTGTGGCTTCAGTAATCCCTGACACCACTGAGGTGGCAGCAACTGCGAGCACAGTTGCTGGTCCTAATATCTCTCCTGGAACATCCCCATCCCACCAGCCGATTCAGCCAAAAGATTTTCACCACCACCATTTCCCTGACATGGAAATCTTCTTGAGGAGATTTGCCAATGAATATCCTAATATCACTCGTCTTTACTCACTAGGAAAATCAGTGGAGTCTAGAGAACTCTATGTGATGGAGATATCGGATAATCCAGGTGTCCACGAACCAGGTAATTGGTATGGTCTTACATAGAATTTCCCTTTTTTTTTTTTTCCTCTGTCATTTGTGGGGCTTGAGCTTTGGGTCTGGGTGCAGTCCTTGAGTTCTTCAGCTCAAGACTAGCACTCTGCCACTTGAGCCACAGCACCACTTCCTTGCATATAATTTCTGTAATGCCTCTCAAAGCTTTGCATTATATTGTTCTTCTTGTTGTGTAGTATGTGTATTTAAGGAAACATAATCAAAAAAGAAAATGTAGGCCAGTCTTTTCCCTACAAAGAAGAAATCTATTTGCTAATCCACGTTAGGCATGGTATTTGATATGTAACTAAATTAGATTCCTTCTACTAATAATTATGCTATAAATTAAATTTCCTTTGCACATCTGTGTACATGTACCACACACATACATGCATATACATACACACATGCTGCTGAGACATACATGTTTTTAAGGAAACTTCAAGATGTTTGGGAAGGTTTTACTTGATTTTGGCAAAATACATGTTTGTTAAAAAATTTTCATCCAGGTATTGGTGGCTCACGCCTGTAATCCTAGCTACTCAGAAGGCTGAGGTCAGACGATCGCTGTTCCAACCATGAGGCTCCTTATCTCCAATTAACCACCAGAATATCGGAAGGAAGTGGCGCTGTGGCTCAAAGTGGTAGAGTACTAGCCTTGAGCAAAAAAGCTCAGGCAAAAAAACCTCAGTGCTCAGGCCCTGAGTTCAAGCCCCAGAACCAAAAAAAAAAAACCCAAAAAACAAAAAACAAAATTCAGTATATTTGAACATATTGGGAAGAAAAGGGAGAGTCCATGAAAAGTGAAAAGGAAAATATCTTCCATGTAATTATTTTGTTTTCAGGTGAGCCAGAGTTTAAGTACATTGGAAATATGCATGGAAATGAAGTAGTTGGAAGAGAATTGCTACTGAACCTCATTGAATACCTTTGTAAGAACTTTGGAACAGATCCTGAAGTAACTGATTTGGTTCGAAGCACTAGAATTCACCTTATGCCATCCATGAATCCTGATGGGTATGAAAAGTCCCAAGAAGGTAAAGAATAACTGATTAGTAGTGCTTAGGGTTTTAGTTATTATATGATATGATTATTTTTAGGATAGAAGAGACTTTGAACCTCTTGTTTCTTGGAATTTCTTCCTTTCTTATAAGCTCTTTTATATACTTGTAAATTGGCCAGACCATTAAGATCAAGGTTATGTTCACAGCTTTTTTTTTCTTTTCTTTTCTCTTTGTATTTTAGTAATGTCTTTCTGTATTATTCAGGGCCCTTTAGAGGAGCAGAACCAACCAATAGGGTACATATTTAATTATAAAAGATTTAAGGCTAAGTGCCAGTGGCTCATGCCTGTAATCCTAGCTGCTCAGGAGACTGAGATGTGAGGATTGCTGTTCAAAGCCAATCCAGGTGGGAAAGTCCGTGAGACTCTTCTCTCCATCTAATCAACCACCTAAAAACTGTCAGTGGCACTATGGCTCAAGTGATAGAGCGCTCACCTTGAGTTGAAGTGCTGAGGGGCCCAGAGTTCAAGCCCCATGACCGACCAAAAAAAAAAAAAAAAAAGATTTATTAGACTGGCTTATATAATTAGAGACTGTCATGTACATGCTGTAAGAGAACCAATAGTCACTTAGTCCAAGAAGCTGGAAGCTTCAGAACAAGGAAGTCCAACAGTGCAGCTCCAGTCCAAGGCTGATGGCCTAGATGTTCCCTAGGGAATCTCTAGGGTAAATCATGTTGAAAGACTGAAGAAACTGGAATCTGGTGTCAATGGGCCATGGCAGAGCAGGAAGAATAGAGCTCGTGTTCACTGGCTGGCTTCCTCCTCCTACCTTTTTGGACCACCTTTTTTATCATCTGTGCTTCCAGCTTACTGGGTGGTGCTAACACGTTTAGAGTGGATCTTTCTCCTCAGTTGCTATCCCACATGTCAGTCATCCCTAGAAATGTCCTCACAGACACACCAAAAATGTACTTTCTTAATCTCCTAATTTCTCAGTTCCATCAAGTTTAATATCTATGTCTATTATATAGAAGTAGATAAATTTATCTATATAACAGATGCAGATAAATATCTCTATATTTTGTTTTAACAAGAATTTATTTTAGTATGACATGGTTAAAGCAGGGAAAATAGGAAAAGGGAGAGAAACATTTTCTGCTCCTCATGTAGGAAATGGAATTTAAAGACTCCAACATGGTATAAAAATTTTCAAAATGGTTTCATTTTAATAGTAATTTTTATTAAATTGTTGCATTGGAAATCTTCTAACTGGAAGTATTTGGAGGCAGTGACTCTGGTTTTGACCCAGTTCTATTGTTCATATATAACCTTAGCCTGCTTAATCATTGACTTCCCATTCCTGTGCCTCCTCTAGCTAGGCAAACCTATCTCTCCTGCTACAGTGTAGTAAGATCTGGGAGACCAGGTTTACCCAAGCCACCTATGTTGAACACAAGTAGAGTAAAAATCCATTTTTTCCCAACACATAATTCTATAGGGATGTTTTAAGGTTTCCTTATAAAAGTTTGATGATTTTGATCTATAATAGATAGACAATGGGCAAATTAACAGGGGAAAAAAAGTAACAAATTTACTAATGTGCAGAAACATAGCACCCATATACAAAGTACATGACTAAGGAGAAGTAGGCAGTTGAAGCTTATATACAGTTAAGCAAAGGGATGGGGTTTGGATTCCTTAGGTGGAGAGGTGGCTACAGGCTATGGAAGTTTGAGGGGACAAAGTGCACTGTGATAAAGGTTGTCCACACGTGTGTGTGTGTGTGTGTGTGTGTGTGTGTGTGTGTGTGTGTGAGAGAGAGAGAGAGAGAGAGAGAGGGGGGAGAAAGAGAGAGAGGGAGAGGGAGAGAGACAGACAGAGAGAGGGGAAGAAGAGAGGGAGAGAGAATGTGTTTGCTCATGTGCATGTGCTACTCCTGAGAATTTAATTCAGGTCTGGGCACTGTCCTTGAACTTTTTTTGCTTATGGCTAGTGCTCTACCACTTGAGCCACAGCTCCACTTCCAGGTTTTTGGTGGTTAACTGGAGTCTCACAGACTTTCCTCCCCAGGCTGACTTTGAACTGAGAGCCTCGAGTCTCAGCCTCCTGAGTAGCTAGGATTATAGATTATATGTCAGCCACCTGTACCTGGCAAGATAAAGTCTCTCAGTCATAGGTATCTGTGGTCATCTCTGGACCAGACTTCAGATCCCCAATCTATTCTTTCTATGAAAATAACTTTTCGAGGTTGAAAAGAAGTATCATATAGAAAAACTGCTGCTGCATTTACTACTTGCTAATATAGAGAAATGTAAATTTCTTTTTATAAAAAGACAGCTTTTCAGGGCTGGGAAGGTGGCTTAGTGGTAGAGGGCTTGCCTTGCATGCCTGAGGCCCTGGGTTCGATTCCTCAGCACCACATAAGCAAAAAGAAAAAAGCCAGAAGTGACGCTGTGACTCAAGTGGTAGAGCGCTAGCCTTGAGCTGAAGAGCTGAGGGACAGCGCCCAGGCCCAGAGTTCAGGCCCCACAACCGGACCCTAAATAAATAAATAAATAAAAAGACAGCTTTTCAGAGCTATTCCTGTGACTGCAGTTTCTCTCAATAACTAATTTGGAATATGCCCTACTATTTGGGGTGTGATATTTCACTCTCTCACAGTTGCTCCTAGGCAATAATACCTGTAAGTAGAACAGGAAAACCACAGTATGAATATGCAGCCGCATGATTGATAATTCACCCTGCGCTAACTACTGGGTGTATTATCTTATCATTATTACCCATTTGATTTGAATTTTTTTCTCATAATTGCAGTATGGAATATGCACAGTTAATGTTAAGTTGGACTTTTCTTCTCTATCATTTTATATTTTATGTTTTTCTTATTTTGATTATTTTTTTGCTTTGTCTTACTTTACTTTTTTGTGATCACGCCAATGTAAGCATACCATAATTTCAGTTAGTCTGGTTCTCTTTTTTCTCTTTTTTTCTTTTTTTTTTTTTTTGTCAGTTGTGGGGCTTGAACTCTGCCTGAGTGCTGTCCCTCAGCTTTTCAGCTCAAGGCAAGCACTCTACCACTTGAGCTACAACGCCACTTCTGGTTTTCTGGTGGTTTATTGGAGATAAGAGTTTCACGGACTTTCTTGCCCGGGCTGGCTTTGAACCGAAATCCTCAGATCTCAGCCTCCTGAGTAACTAGGATTACAGGCGTGAGCCACCGGCGCCTGGCTTAGTCTGGTTCTTTAGGATGTCTTACTGTGTACAAGTCCAATAGAGTTCCTCTTTGACCATTACTGCTCACTCAAAGGTGTGAGCATGTCTTTGTGTGTTGATTATTGACAGTTGAGTGAAACTTTAATGTAATTTATATAATTGATATTTTTCTTCTCAAAGTATGACTAGAGAGCAGAAGCAAAATGTTCGTAGCTTTAGCCCTCTGTTCTAAAAGTCTGAAAAAGAGGTTTTAAGCACACAATTTAAATAAAATGTGTTATTTTATTTTTTATGCTGGTCCTGAGGCTTGAACTCAGTGTCTGAGGGCTATTCCTGAACTTTCGTGCTCAAGGCTAGTGCTCTCCAACTTGAGCCACAACTCTACTTTCAGTTTTTTTGGTGGTTTAGTGGAGATAAAGAATATCACAGACTTTCCTGCCTGGGCTGGCTCCTAACTGTAATCCTCAGATCTCAGACTTCCAAGTAGCTAGGATTATAGGTGTGAGCCACTGACACAAGGCAATAACAACAGGATTGATAACAATGAATTATAATGTGTTTGTACTTGACCATAAGTTAAAATAGCTGAAGTAGTATGTGTTGGATTATAATACAAGCAAAATATACCTTAAATTGGAATCTTCTATCTTTCAGGAGATTCAGTAAGTGTAATTGGTAGAAACAACAGCAACAACTTTGATTTGAATCGGAATTTCCCAGACCAGTTTGTTCAGATCACAGATCCTACCCAACCAGAAACTATTGCTGTAATGAGCTGGATGAAGGCTTATCCTTTTGTGCTGTCAGCAAACCTGCATGGAGGTATGGTAACTCTATATTCCACTAATGTGTCTTACTAGGAGCAATAGAAAATTCTAGTGAAACCTTATCTGTTTACAGTCTTAAGCTTTCAGAAAATGAGTATTCTGTTACTGCTTCTGTGGCAGATAACAATAAAGGTCTTACTGTTTTTTAGGCCAATTCCATGGTTGTTCCCTCCACTCTTTTTTTTTTTCTTTCCTGGCTTTTCTTTCTTTATCCTCCCCACCCTTTCTCTTTCTCTAAACCTCCCTTCTTTCTCTTCCCTTTCTCTCTTTTCTTCTCCATGTCCAACTTCTCTCCATTGAAATGGAGTGAATTTTTCTGCTCTTGGCTGCCTTGGAACCTCAATCCTTCCAATCAATATTAGCTTCTCACATAGCTAGGATGGTAGGCACATCATCACTACACCCAGCTGTGGGTTGAGAAGGGAGTCCCAAACTTCCTCTCAGACTGGCCTCACAATCTCAGCTGGGAGGCTGAGAATAACTATAACTAGCCATTAGCACTCAGCTGATACTTTTTGTTTGAATTTTGATCACAGATCCAAGGTGAAACAATGTGTTTGAGACATTTGAGTAGGAGGAGGTGTTACAGCATATTTATTCTTGGGGATTGAATGAGTGTAGCTTTTCATATTTGCTACCTAAGAATTTTTTTGTGTGAATGTTTGCAGTTGTTTCTTATTTCATCGAAATTAAGGTTGGAAATTCCATTCCTGTTGCCTCCCTTCCTATGAAATAGCATGATAAAAAAAGGGCAAAGGTGAATAGCTCAGTAGAGGGCATAATAGACAAACGAAAACAGTGTGACTAACAGGAAAATAAAACATTCCAATCTTTGGCAGGGGAGTGAGAATGTACATCTGAAAGACTGTGCCTGAGAAGCACAAAGGGAGCTGATAACTTCCTTCATGTGTATCTTAGCTCCTGAAATATGACATGATATAGCTCCAACTGAATAGTTTCTTTTTTTCTTTTTTTTTTTTTTGTCAGTTGTGGGGCTTGAACTCTGGGCTTGGGCACTGTCCCTGCGCTCTTCAGCTCAAGGGGAGTGTTATACTGCTTGAGCCACAGCACCACTTCCAGTTTTCTAGTGGTTTATTGGAGATAAGAGTCTCATGGACTTTGCTGCCCAGGCAGGCTTTGAACCGTGATCCTCAGATCTCAGCCCTCTGAGTAGCTAGGATTACAGGCGTGAGCCACTGGCACCGGGCTTCAATAGTTTCTAATAAGATCCTAAAAGAGGGGGTTGGGAAGGTGGCTCAATGGTAGAGAGTTTGCCTTGCATGCATGAGGCCCTGGGTTCGATTCCTCAGCATCACATAAGCAGAAAAAGCTGTAAGCCCTTATTTCTCATTTCTGTTCCTGAACAGATATTGTTTTTTCTTCCCTGGCACTGTTATCAAAAGCTTACTTTATGTCAGTGACCCATCTTGAAACAGATAATGATATATTTTCCTTTTTTGGCTTATAGGTTCACTGGTAGTTAACTACCCTTTCGATGATGATGAACAAGGAATTGCCACATACAGTAAATCACCAGATGATGCTGTGTTTCAACAAATAGCACTTTCTTATTCTAAGGTAAGCTTTTGTTTAAATATCATATGCTGTAAAATGAACTGATTAAAAAATGACATGGAGTCTGGCACCAATGGCTCATACCCATAATCACAACTACTCAAAAAATGAAGATTGGGAGGATTATAATTCCAGGCCAGCCTGGCCAAAAGAGTCCATGAGATCCTATCTCAACAGGAAAAAGATGGTTGTAGTGGTACATACTCTCATCCCAGCTACGGTAATAAGCTTAAATAGGAGGATTGCAATCCAGACCAGCCCAGTCAAAAAGTGAGACCATGTCTCAAAAATAACCACAGCAAAAGTAGTAGAGCACCTGCCTAGCAAGCACAAGACCCTGAGGTTAAGGCTCAGTATCAGGGGAAGAGGGGGAAAACCTTAAAATAACGTCCAAGTGGTTTTTTGGTTGGGCTTTTCATGACTCTTTCAGTCAGCTTTTGGGGCTTTTCTTTTCCTATTTCCTACTTGACTTTGTGAATATACTACTTGTCTTTCTCCATTTGCTTTTAAAAAATTTTTCTGTTTATGTGGTACTGAGGAATTGAACCCAAGGCTTCATGCCTGCTAGGCAAACACTCTACCACTAAGCCACATTCCCAGCCCATCCATTTGCCTTTAATAGCACAGTAGCTGGAACATATGGTGTGAGCTTTTTTTCATTTAACAAACATTTAAGTCACAAGCTAAGTGAAAAATAAATAGAAGAGTCGACAAGCTGCAGTGCTACAACCAATGGGAATATCTACCTTATCACTTGTTTCTTGTAAATTGACTTACAAGAAGTTTTTATTGAATTGCAAGTATAGCCATACTTCACAGATTATCTATGGCTGCTTCCTCCTTCAACTTTTGAAAATGAGTTGGTGTAAATTACCATGTTAGCAAACTAAAGTAGAAAACTTTGCAATTATCTCAATAGATTCAAGGAGCAGAATTGAAAAATTGCAACAGAGATTTTAGGGAAAGCCTAATTTTTTTACAATCTGGCCCTTTTTCAGGAAAACATTGCTAATGTCTGGTTTAAGGTATTTAATCCCATAGTAGTAGAGAGCAAGGAAAAGAAGGCAAAAGTTTTTTGTATTTTCTAAACTTCCTATAATAAATATGAATTCTTTTTCTGATCAGAAACTTAAAATTTGTATGTATGAAAATTTTATTTAAAAAATGTTCTTAGAAAACTTTAAAGTTAGGTAGGCATTGGTGGCTCACACTGGTAATCCTAGCTGCTCAGGAGGCTGAGATCTTATGATCATGGTTCAAAGCCAGCCTGGGCAGGAAAGTCCTTGAGACTCTTATCTCCAATAAACCACTCACAAAACCGGAAGTGGTGCTATGGCTCATGTGGTAGAGTGTTAGCCTTTAGTTGAAGAGCTGGGGGACAACACCAAGGCCCAGAGTTCAAGCCCCACGACCACCACCACCAACAGCAACAAAAAAGAAAACTTTAAAGTTTGGGTTTGGGCAGTAGGTATACTCCAAGTTTTAGACTACTGATTCCATTTGTGACCACTGAATATAGATTAAGAAGGTTAATACTTCAACTCTGTGCTGTCTAATCCATCCTTCATCATTCCACCTTCCCTACTTCTTCATTCTTTGCAAGTGTCCCTTGTGTAATTATTAGGAGCTGCAAGTAAAGGAGAATAGCTATTTATTTCACCTTAAAGAAGTTTTACTTTCTACTGGGCACAGTGGCTCATGCCTGTAATTCTGGCTACTCAGGAGGCTGAAGGCTGGGGAGATGGCTGTTAAGAGACCAACCCAGGTGAAAATGTTTGCAAGACCCACTTTTCGTGTGTGTGTTGGTCCTGGGGCTTGAACTCAAGGCCTGGGTGCTGACCCTGAGCTTTTGTGCTCAAGGCTAGTGCTCTACCACTTGAATCTCAGCTCCACTTTGAGGGGTTTTTTTTGTAGTTTAATGGAGATAAGAGTCTCATAGACTTTCTTGCCCAAGTTTGGCTCCAAACTGATTCTCAGATCTCAGCCTCCTGATTAGCTAGGATTACAGGTGTACAGTGCCTAGCTGTTTTATTATTTTTAAATTGTTATTATAAAGGTAATATACAGAGGGGTTACAGTTACACAGATCAGGTAATGAGTACATTTCTTTTTGGACACTGGTACCCCTTTCCTCACTCTTTAAGAGCTTTTCTTAACCAATTAAAAGCTGGGTACAGTGACACACTGCTATCATCCAAACTGTGCAGGAAGTGTAATTAGGAAGATCATGATTTAGGCCAACTGGGGCAAAAAGCAATATTCTATGTAAGAAATAACAAACAATAACAAAAAGGGCTAGGGGTATAGCTGAAAGATCCTCAGTTCAAATCTCAGTTCCACAAATCTCAGTACCACCAAGGGAGGGAAAAAATTCTTGCCTTTTGTTGGACAAATCATTTCTTTTTTGGGGGGAAGCGAGAGGAGTGATGTACCTGGAATAATGACAGAAGAATGGATATTGCTCTATCACAATCAAAATGATTGGACCAGATTTTGCATACATACATACATGCATATATTCCCATTATATATTGCATCTATCCTCATGGTTCAGCTTTTCACCCTCATTGTGACTTCTTGTTCCTTAGTTTCTCTTTATTCTCTTAGACTGTTAAACATTTATCTTTCTATCCTGCCTGGACTCATGACCATATCTTTTCAGAGATACTTCCAAGGTTCTGGTGTATCCCTTTGACACACCTGCCTTCCTGATATCCAGTCCTCAAAAGGAGACCATTGCCATCAATGCCCAAAGGGCTATCCTAGTTCCCCTAGACATTAGGGAAGGCTCCTGATTCCACAGTGTGTGGTGTGTGTGTGTGTGTGTGTGTGTGTGTGTGTGTGTGTGTGTGTGTGTGTGTGTGTGTGTGTGTGTGTGTGTGTGTGTGTGTGTGTTTTATTTTGTGGAATTTTAAATCCTTGAAAATAAAAAAATAATGTGTGAATATGAGCAGAATTTTTTTTGGGGGGGCTAGGAATCATTTATTAGCCATGGTGTCTGATGAGCAGAATTTTTTATGCTGGTCCTAGGGCTTGAACTCAGGGGCCTGACAACTGCCCCTGAGATTTTTTTCTCAAGGCTAGTGCTCTACCATTTGAGACACGGCGCAACTTCCAGCTTTTTCTGAGTAGTTTTTTGGAGATAAGAGTCTCATAGACTTTCCTGTCCAGGCTGGCTTTGAACTGTAATCCTTAGATCTCAGCCTTCTGAGTAACTAGGATTACAGGCATGAACTACCATTGTCCAGCAAGCAGAATTTTTTAGAGAAGGATTAGGCTGAGTTTTTTTAAATTAAGTGAAATCTTATATATTATCTTACAAAGAACATTTTTAATTTTTAAAAATAAATTCATATAGACAAAATTCAAATGACATCTAGAATTTGTACATTAAAAAGTCTCACTTCTATCTTTGTCCCTGTTCCCTAACCCCAATCCCTCATACTCACTATTGGTAACCATGTTTATTATTGTCCTATATCCTTCCTGTGTTTTTTTTTAATGTAGATTTAAACAAATACAAATAAAGGTTCTTTTTTTTTTACAGGAAAACTCCCAAATGTTTCAAGGTAGACCTTGCAAGAATATGTACCCTAATGAATATTTTCCTCATGGAATAACAAATGGAGCTAATTGGTATAATGTCCCAGGTAAAGATTATCAGTCTTACAATTTGATGGAATGTTCTTCTGGATGGTGCTGCTTATTACTGATCTTTTTTTTAATTGTGAGAAAGAATCATTTTTTAAACATGTTTAAATCATTTAAATGTTCAAATAACCTTTTCAGCTAGTTTTCATTTTTGTGTTCTCTGGGTTTTGAGTAAAGTCATGCATTACAACTTGGTCAAAGTTGTTCGTTTTTATTTCTGGCTACTACAAGATGTAAAGCTACATATGAATTTTATTTTTTATTTTTTATTTTTTATTTTTTGCCAGTCCTGGGACTCGAACTCAGGGCATGGCCACTATCCCTGAGCTTCTTTTGCTCAAGGCTAGCACTCTACTACTTGAGCCACAGTGCCATTTCTGGCTTTTTTTGTTTATGTGGCACTGAGGACTTGAACCATTTAATGCATGCTAGGCAAGCACTTTAACACTAAGACATGTGAATTTTATTGGATATGGAAGTACGGGTGTTTTACCTGAACTATGAACGGTAGAGAACAAATGCATTGTTTTTCAACCAATGCAGATCCAAGATGAATGTGATGTATAACTAGTAGTAAAAACCAAAACCTTTCAGAATGTGAACTATTTAGAACTCCTTCAGTGATTTCTTTAAAATTTTTGACTTTTAGGTGGTATGCAGGACTGGAACTATTTACAAACAAATTGCTTTGAAGTAACTATTGAACTAGGTTGTGTGAAATACCCATTTGAAAAAGATCTGCCAAACTTCTGGGAACAGAATCGAAGATCTCTAATCCAGTTTATGAAACAGGTGCTCAGGAGTGAACTTTGATTTTTCCCATGGGCAAGGGTTTTGGGAGGGCTGATTGTTTTCAAATAGTGATGTGAGGATAGAGCCTTTCTAATATTTACTCCTTTTGAATATTCCAATTCGTTTAGTATATTTATCTGAAAACGTCATGGATACAAGTGAGTTTATTTTTATAAATGTGAAAGGGTTGAAGAAAATGACTAAACAAGGTAGTTAATGATTAATGAGAACTTTTTACCATCTTCATAAAAGGCCTACATGAATTAGATGCATATCTAAGCATTTCTCAAGTCAAGGAAGATGGACTATAAATATTTTTAAAATTAATCTTATTTACTTTTTCTTTTTTTTTTATTTTTATTTTTGCTGGTCGTGGGTCCTGAACTCTGGGCCTGGGCACTGTCCCTCAGCTCAAGGCTAGCACTCTACCACTTGAGCCATAGCACCACTTCTAGCTTTTTCTGCTTATGTGGTGCTGAGGAATCGAACCCAGGGCCTCATGCATGCAAGGCAAGCATTCTACCACTGAGCCACCTTCCCAGCCCCTTATTTACTTTTTCTAATGTGGTACCAAGGAATCAATCCCAGTGCTCTAATCCAGAATATTCCTTTTTTCAATGGCATTTCCCTTCAGAAGAGGCCAAGCTTGTTTTCTTGCAGAATATCCTATGTCATGAAATGGTCATAATGTTCTAAACTTTTAACAATGTTTTTAATATTTCTTATGATAGACAAGCCTAGCCTATGAACAATTAGCCTTTAGAAACTGAAATATGTTGCTTAATGAGCATTTTTATTTAGGTCTACTCCAGAGTCCTAAACTCCTGTTTCATTAGTTTACATGATTAACAGTCTGTTAGTTTAGCATGTGAGCTCTCAAAGTAATTAAATGATGATCTTTACCACTTAAATCTGGGTGTTCTGTCCTTCATCCAGGTTCATCAGGGTGTCAAAGGATTTGTCCTTGATGCCACAGATGGCAGGGGTATATTAAATGCCACCATCAGTGTTGCTGAAATTAATCACCCAGTGACTACTTACAAAACTGGAGATTACTGGCGCCTTTTAGTTCCTGGAACTTACAAAATCACAGCATCTGCTCGAGGGTAAGTGATGAATGATTTAAATTGAAGGCTTGGGGATAAAACAAACATAGTTTCATTCTGGAACATTATTTCTTTAACATCCTAGAGAGGTCAGGTGCTGGTGGCTCACACTTGTAATCCTAGCTACTCAAGGGGGTGAGATCTGAGAATCCCTGGGCTCCTTTCACTCAAAACTCTACTACTTGAGCCACAATGCCACTTCCAGCTTTTTCTATGATTAATTAAAGATAAGAGTCTTCTTGCCTGAGCTATCTTTGAACCACAATCTTCAGATCTCAACATCCTGAGTAGCTACAGTAATTATAGGCATGAGCCACCAGCGCCAGTCTAGTTCTGGCTTTTTGCCAGTTACTTTCGGATAGGAATTGTATGTCCTCAAATAAACTCTAGCTTCAAACCCTGATCCTTAGATCTCAGCCTCCTAAGTAGCTAGGATTGCAGGCCTGGCCAGCCAACTTATTTCTGAAGTGTTAGTTTTAAGATCAATTGAAGTGAAGCTAAGTATATGAAAACAAAAAAAGTCTCTCAAATATCTAGTGGTCTATAAATGGAGGGGTTAGAATCTCACACACTCATGAGTAATGAGGACAATTCTCTGTTTCATCCATTTTGGCAATGTATTAGAGAAACTAAAGCAGCAGGGTATTTGAGAACCGAGACAAGAATGGTGCCTATGGAAATGCCCTAAGTTAGCACCTCGCATATTTTTCCACCCACATACCCTAGCAGACAAGGAAGTTATATTCCAGGATACATGGTGTGCAACAAATTTTCATTTGAAGTCATGTTATCAAGCTTTTTTTTTATATGTATATTGCTAGTACTGGGTCCTGAACTCAGAGCCTCTCATTCTCATTTTCCTTTCTCACTCAAGGTTAATGCTCTACTACTTGAGCCACACCTTCACTTCTGGCTTTTTGATGGTTAATTGGAAATAAGAGGCTACAATGCTTGATAAGAAATGTACTCATTATCTTGCCCATGTAATTGTAACCCCTCTATACAGTATTTTCACAATAAAAAATAAATAAAAATTAAAAGAATCTAATAGATTTGTTTGCCTGGGCTGGATTAAACTAAGATCTTCAGTTCTCAGCCTCCTGAGTAGCTAGGATTACAAGTGTGAGCCACCAGCAAATATTATTAATTTTTAGAGACTCACTCAAATTTTACATATACTAGGGTCTTTTCTCTGTAAATTAATGTTTTAAAGAATCATAATTTACCTAAAAGCTAAACACTTTAGGAAGATATACCCCATTTCTTCCTCTGGTTCATGTATCCCCAGTGTGTCTCTGTTTCTCAGTGTTTGGGTACCGCTGCTGAAGAACTGTGGCCCTGATCTGTCTGCTTTATTCTAGGTATAATCCAGTTACCAAGAATGTGACTGTCAGGGGTGAAGGTGCTATTCAGGTCAACTTTACACTTGTTCGATCATCAACAGATGCAAACAATGAATCAAAGAAAGGAAAGGGGGATAGCACCAACACCGAGGATACCAGTGACCCAACTACTAAAGAATTTGAAGCTTTAATCAAAGACCTTTCAGCTGAGAATGGGTTGGAAGGTCTCATGTTAAGCTCCTCCTCAAATCTGGCTCTTTATCGATATCATTCATATAAAGACTTATCAGAATTTTTGAGAGGACTTGTAATGAACTATCCACAGATTACAAATCTTACCACGTAAGTGTTACCTTCTGCCTGTCTACCTGCCCCTGTCCCTTCCTCCCTTCCTTTCTTATACCTCTACTTCCTTCTCTCTCTTTTCTTTTTTTTTTTTTGGTCCAGTCGTGGGGACTGAACTCTGGGCCTGGGCGCTGTCCCTCAGCTCTTCAGCTCAAGGCTAGCGCTCTACCTCTTGAGCCACAGCGCCACTTCTGGCTTTTTTCATTTTGTTTATGTGGTGCTGAGGAATCGAACCCAGGGCCTCAGGCATGCAAGGCGAGCGCTCTACCACTGAGCCATCTTCCCAACCCCTCCCTGAGCTTCTTTTGTTCAAGTCTAGCACTCTACCACTTGAGCAACAGCTCAAGTGCCTTTTCTGTGTATGTGGTACTGAGGAATTGAACCCAGGGCTTCATGCATGCTAGGCAAGCACTCTACCACTAAGCCACATTCCCAGTCCCTATAGACCTAATTTTTAAAAAACCAAAATTAGACAATATTTTGCAGTTTTCTTAGCTTGCTTAATTTTTTTTTAACCTTGTAATCCAAGAAGTGCTTTTAGTTAACTATTCTCCCCAAATGTGGTAAACTTGGTGGGAGCAAGAGTTTTCTCTGGTAAACCAATAGGCACTAAGCATTGTTGAATAACGTCACACAGAAGCAACAATTTTGTTATTCCATTCATCTTCCTCCATAATGCTAGCACATATGCACTTTGCAACTCTTGTGACCCTCCTCTAATAGTAAAGAAAGCAGGCCTTAAGTCTCAGGGCTTCTGGGCAAGCAGAACACTTGACCAGTTTTGTTTCATTGAATTGTTTTTACTATGAAATCACATTTACAGTAACATCTAAGTTATCTTATTTACATAGATTAATTTAGATTGAAAGTAAGATGTCTATTTAAATGTTTCCATAATCAAAATTTAAGCATATCTATTTGAAAGCCATAGATGGTAGGAGATAGTACACATATTGTGAAGATGGATGGTATGGGAAGGGCTAAGTTTGAAGAAAAGCTAAACTGAATTGTAATCTTTCCTGAATCTGACAATATTTTTCTTCCAATTGATTTGGTCATGGAATACTAATTTTCAAAAGGTTTTCTGACACAATCTTACTCATTCTTTGTCATTTTAAAATGACTTTTAAGCCTTTTTGTGTGTTTTATTTACATTTTAATGTTCAAATTCCATAAGTTTAACCTAATGCTTCATCATTTGCTGACTTTTTTGTGTCTGGTTTCTGAAAGTTTGGGACAGAGTGCTGAATATCGTCATATTTGGTCCCTTGAAATCTCCAATAAACCCAACATATCTGAGCCTGAAGAACCAAAGATTCGTTTTGTTGCTGGTATCCATGGAAATGCTCCTGTTGGCACTGAACTGCTTTTGGCTCTGGCAGAATTTCTCTGCCTGAACTACAAGAAGAACCCAGCTGTTACCCAGGTAAGAGAATAGCCTGTTTTAACATGCTTTAAAAGGAAGAAGCTCAGTGATATCCGAGTACCATTTAAAACTTTTAAATTGCCGGGCATTGGTGGCTCACGCCTATAATCCTAGCTACTCAGGAGGCTGAGATCTGCGGATCGAGGTTCAAAGCCAGGCCGGAAAAGAAAGCCCCTGAGACTCTTATCTCCAATAAACCACCAGAAAACTGGAAGTGGTGCTGTGGCTCAAGTGGTAGAGCACTTGCTTTGAGCTGAACAGCTCAGGGACAGCACCCAGGCTCAGAGTTCAAGCCCCACAATGGACCAAAAAAACAAAACAAAACAAAAACCACCAAACTTTTAAATTGCTTATTAGAATTTATACACTTTTAGGCTGGGTGCCAGTGGCTCATGCCTGTAGTCCTACCTACTCAGGAGGCTGAGATCTGAGGATAGCAGTTCAAAGACAGCCTCAGCAAGAAAAATCTTATCTCTATGGAACTGTGGCTGAAGTGGTAGGATGTAGTATACCAGAAATTAGTTTTTGCTATAGGTATTAGTGCTATGGTCATCTGGAGAAGAAATTGTGTATAAGACAAATATTTGTTCTTTTTTTGGGGGGGGGGTCCGGCCGTGGGGCCTGAACTCTGGGCTGGGCGCTGTCCCTCAGCTCTTCAGCTCAAGGCTAGCGCTCTACCACTTGAGCCACAGCACCACTTCCGGCTTTTTTCTTTTTGCTTATGTGGTGCTGAGGAATCGAACTCAGGGCCTCATGCATGCAAGGCAAGCGTTCTACCACTGAGCCACCTTCCTAAGCCCCCAAATATTTGTTCTTCTTTTTCTTTTTTTTTTGGGTCCAGTCGTGGGGCCTAAACTCTGGGCCTGGGCGCTGTCCCTCAGCTCTTCAGCTCAAGGCTAGCGCTCTACCACTTGATTCATAGCACCACTTCCGGCTTTTTTCTTTTTGCTTATGTGGTGCTGGGGAATTGAACCCAGGGCCTTAGGCATACAAGGCAAGCACTCTACCACTGAGCCACCTTCCCAGACCCTTGTTCTTATTTTTCTTAACATGCTGATTTTAGCTCCTCTGTTTCATTGTCCAGATGCACATTGATATTTGCAGATTATACATTTCAACATTTTTTTTTTTTGGGGTCCGGTCATGGGGCCTGAACTCTGGGCCTGAGTGCTGTCCCTCAGCTCTTCAGCTCAAGGCAAGTGCTCTACCACTGAGCCAACTTCCCAGTCCCACATTTCAACTTTTAATCCAGAAAATAGTTTCATCATTATTACTGACTTAAGCTAGTGATCAAAAAATTTTTTTATTTTATTTTTTTGTTGGTCGTGAACTCTGGGCCTGGGTGCTGTCCCTCAGCTCTTCAGCTAAAGGCTAGCTAAAGGCTAGCACTCTATCACTGGAGCCACTTCCGGTTTTCTGAGTGGTTTATTGGAGATACGAGTCCTATGGACTTTCCTGCCCAGGCTTGCTTTGAACCGTGATCTTCAGATCTCAGTCTCCTGGGTGACTAGGACGACAGGCATGAGCCACTGGCACCTAGCAAAAAAATTGTTTCTGTTAATGCCCAAATTGTACATATTTTAGGCTTTGTAGGGCAGTTGTTCTGTAACTGTTCAACTCTGCCATATGGCACAAGAGTAGACATATGTGCCAATAAAACCTTACACAAGAAAAGCAGCAGCTGTTGGGTGCCAGTAGCTCACACCTATAATCATAACTACTCAGGAGGCTGAGACCTGAGGTTCAAAGCCAGCCTGGGCAGGAAAATCCATGAGACTTTTATCCTCAATTACCCATCAAAAAGCTGGAAATGAAGCTATGGTTCAGGTGGGAGAGAGCCAACCTTGAGTAAAGAGGCTAAAGGACAGTGCCCAGGACCTGGGTTCAAGACCTGCATATGAGTGAGAGAGACAGAGCCAGAGAGAGAGAGACAGAGACAGAGAGAGAGCAGCAGCAGCAGCAGCAGCAGAATCTGACCTGCTGGTAGTGGTTCTGTGATTAAAAAAAAAAAGTCACTGTAAAATTAGTTGTACAGTAGTACTTTGCTTTCGTTTTAAATTTATTAGGAGCAAGAGAGAATTGTACTTTACATTTAATTATTTTTAGCCCTGCCATTTAAATTAACTATTCAAAATGAACAATGGTGGGAGGGTGTTAGGGAGACACAGTGGCTGATTCCTTTAATTCTAGCTACTTGGGGAGGCATAGATCAAGATTGTGGCCAGTTCGAGGCCATTGTAGGCAAAAACTTAGAGAGACTCTTCCTATCTCAAGAAATAAGCTAGATATGGTGGCACACGTCTGTTATTCCAGCTACATGAAAGATGTAGGTAGGAAATCATATCCAAGACATGTCTGAAAAATAACTAATACAAAATAAGAAGAGGCTGGATATGTGGCTCAAGTGGTACAGTGCTTGTCTAGCAAGTGCAAGTCCCTTGAATTTAAATGCTAAAACTTCTCTCCCTGCCCCCAATAATAAAGAATGATAAAGACTTTCTATTTGAGGCATGCAAAAACGCTGTGGATTCCATATGGAGCTAATAAACTAATTCATTGATTTCTGTTTCTGTTTTAGTTGGTTGACAGGACTAGGATTGTGATTGTTCCTTCTCTAAATCCAGATGGACGAGAGCGAGCACAGGAGAAAGACTGTACTTCAAAGACAGGACAAACAAATGCCCGTGGCAAAGACTTGGATACAGACTTCACAAGTAAGGCTAGGTTTTAGATCATTCAAGTGCTTTGGAGATCATTCTTTCTCTGGTTTTACTTTATAGATGAGTTAACGAAGAAATTCTATGTCTAGGTTATGACTAGCTTGTATAGAGCTGTGTATTGTTTTTCTCTCTCCACACTCAATTGTGTGTTCTCACACAATATCTATGTATATGCTAATTTGAAGGGGCTTTTTTATTTACTTAAATGTGATTATCATCTATTCATATTATTCTGTAACTTTTTCTTGGTCACTATATCATTGACATCTTTTCACTTCACTACTTACATAGATTTTTTTTTTTTCCCCCAGTCCTGGGGCTTGAGCTCAGGGCCTGCGCACTGTCCCTGAACCTCTTTGTGCTCAAAGCAATAACTCTACACTTGAACCACAGCACCACTTCCAGCTTTTTCTGAGTAGTTTATTGGTAATAAAAGTCTCATAGACTTTCCTGCCTGAGCTGGCTTCAATCCTCAGATCTCAGCCTCCTGAGTAGGTAGGATTATAGGTGTGAGCCACCAGCACCTGGCCGACATAGATCTTTAACATTTTCATTGATGACTATTACTATATGGCAGTAACCTAGTTCAACCATTTGTTTCTAATTTTTTGCTTTTGCCAGTAGTGCTGCAGAAAACATCTTGCTTTCTGAGAATCTTGTTTTGTTTCAAAGATAGGTGATTTATTATCATTAAGTAATTGTAAAAAAAAATAGTTTTTTGTTGTTATTGTCGTTTTTGCTGGTCCTGGAGCTCAAACTCTGGGCTTAGGCACTGTCCCTGAGCTTCTCTTGCTTAAGGCTAGCTCTCTACCACTTGAGCCACAGCACCATTTCCAGCTTTTTTCTGTAATTGGAGATAAGAGTCTCACAGACTTGCCTGTCCTGGCTGGCTTTGAACTGCAATCCTCAGATCTCAGCCTCCTGAGTAGCGAAGATTACAAGCATGAGCCATGGGTGCCCAGCCTAAGTTGTTTTTTGTTGTTGTTTTTTTTTTTTTGGCCGGTTGTGGGGCCTGAACTCTGGGCCTGGGTGCTGTAGCTCGGGGCTACTGCTCTACCACTTGAGTCACAGCATCACTTCCAGTTTTTTCTGCTTATGTGGTGTTGAGGAATTGAACACAGGGCCTCATGCATGCAAGGCAAACACTCTACCACTGAGCTACCTTCCCAGCCCCTTAAGTTGTTGGGTTTTTTTTAATACTTTAAGTCAATTTATTAATGGTTAAAATGAAAAGAGAACATGAAAGCACAAATGCATCTAAAACGTAGGGTGAATGATGGGCTAGAGAATGGCAAGAGAAGATAGTTAAGGAAGGATGAGTCAATAGCAGCTACTGTTTTTTGGATTCTGCTGTATTCCAAGACATATTGCAAGTCAAATAGATGAGTCACTACATTGTATATTTCAATTTTCATAATAATTACCTGGAACATTAAATAAGGAACATAAGCTGAATGAGGTTGAGTAATTTGCAAATAGGATGTACATGAACTTTTTCCCTCCTGACCTCAAGGGTATTGGAATCTTTCTTATCACAATGATCTAAGGGGTCCCTATTTATTTTAGGAGCTACCCACTGTTAGGTTTATAAAAAGAGGTAGCCAAGTAAGAACAGCACCACGCATGTGGTATTCAGGTAAGGGGTAGGTTTATTCAGTAGACCTGCTGGGACCAGGCCAGGTTGACACTCCACGTGGCTGGCAAAGAGAGTGTCTGGCCCTGAGTTAGGCCTTATCTAGAGTAGGGGCGAGGAAACGTGTGTCCAGGTAAAGGGAAGTGGGACCAGGTAAGAGGAGGTAGGACCAGGTGGGAAAAAGGTGTGGCCACATCAGATCCGATGTGACCTCAGCGGATGCAGATGTGAACTCTTCCAGGTGTCCCAGTAAGTTGTTTTTTAATATCCATCTTTTTTTTTCAGTAAGAATTTTCTTATACTTGCTTAGTGGTATTGATGTGCGCATATTATCTCAAAGTATATGAAATGCTAAGTAACTTCCCTTATACATGTGTCTCTTGATTCAGACGTAGTTTATGGAAAAATGAGTAATTACAATTTTTTTAATCAACATATTAACTGTGCTCACATAGATATTCACATATTTCATAGATATTCACACTAAGATTTAGAACTTGGTCATTTATATTTGGCTTCTCTCTTTTTTTAGGTAATGCTTCCCAGCCTGAGACTAAAGCCATCATTGAAAATTTGATTCAGAAACAGGATTTCAGTCTTTCTGTCGCTTTAGATGGTGGTTCTGTGCTGGTTACTTACCCATATGACAAGCCAGTACAGACAGGTATGCAAAATGTCCTTTTCTATATACAGTAACCATCTTATCTAAACCTATTTAACAACAGGTAAAAAAATGACATGAATTAATGTCTCTTGTAAGTGTTTTTAAATGGTGAGCAAATAGCCAACATAAGGCAGTTGTCCATTCTCTATTTCAAAATTTCAAACATTTACTTAGAGAGGTGTGATCTCATGAAAGCTTAGCATTATTGAGTCTAGTCTTTATTTATTGATTTATTTATGATATATTGAGCGACTCTGTGTCGATCTTGGGAGTACAAAAGTGAATGTAACATAGTACGTGCCTTAAGAAAGTCATATAAGCAAACAATATTTCCGTCCCGTTTTAAATCTTGACTGGCCAGTAGAACCTTCTGGGGAGTTAGTTAACTGTTGAATATCTGGGGAGGGAGAGGGAGGTGGGAAGTTTCAACATATGGAGATAGTTTGGGCTGTTTTCAGTGTAGCTTATAAGCTTATTGTTATTAGGTCACAGTTGCCTCCAAGTGAGGTAAGGCATACCAAGACAAGTTCATTATTTTAACATAGTAGTCTATTATATAAACTACGTTAATATCTTTTAATATAAGGAAGAAGTTTGCCTTCAAAATCTGATTATCATGTACTAAACAAAACTACATGATTCATTGTAATCACCACTTGATAAACTTAGGTAGGGTGCAAGATTTAATAGAAGAAGAGAAAGTTAAAATGTATCTGTGATGTTGAACTTAGACAAAAATCTTTTAGATGTCTCCACTGATTTGTGAATTTTTCTTTTTTGTAGTGGAAAACAAAGAGACTCTAAAACATTTGGCATCTCTTTATGCAAATAACCATCCATCGATGCACATGGGTCAGCCTAGCTGCCCAAATAAGTCAGGTGAGTATATTCCCCTAGACTGTTATTATTTCTGTGGTGCTTTGGGGAAGGAAGGCCTTACATTGTTGTCTTGATGATCTTGCCTCTCTTAATGCTTTTATAGATGAGAATATCCCAGGAGGAGTAATGCGTGGAGCAGAATGGCACAGTCATTTGGGCAGCATGAAGGTATGCTTTATAGAACACATTGAGGATGGAATTATGAACAATGGCCACTGAGTAAATGAATAGGTAACATTTTTGATAGCATCAAGACTTTTCTGACACATTTAATCTGCAATGTTTTTAACCAATTTTAGTTGTATAATTTAATGGTCTTAATTATATTTACAATGTTAAATAGCCATCACTGTATTTATTTCCAAAACCTTTGTGTTTTGAAGTAAACTCTTTTCCTTCTCTTCCTATAGTCCCCAAAGTTTATAACCTTTAGTGCGCTTTCTGTCTCTATGAATTTGCCTATTCTAAATATTTTTGTACATGTTATCCTTTCATGTCTGACTTTTTTACTTAACACAATGTTTTTAGGTTCATCTACTTTTTTTCCTGACCCCTTCAGTACTGGTGTTTGAACTAAAGGCTTTGTACTTATTAGGCTAGCATTCCACACCTTAAGCCACACCTCCCAACCTTAGAATTCACTCACTCCTTTTTGATAACAAAATAATATTTCATCATATGTATATATTATTATTTTTATTACTAAATCATATTCCTGTGTTGATGTACATTTGGATTGTTTCTCCCTTTCAGCTATTGGAAATTGGAAATAATGCTTCAGTGAACATTGACACATACCTGTTTTAAGGCCTTGTTTTTGCTTCTATAGAGAGAGAGTAGAATTACTGGATCGTATTGTACTTCCATGTTTAACATTTTGAGGAACCATAAAACTTTTCTGCAATACTTGTACCATTTTACTTTTTTTTTTTCCTTTTTGCTGGTGCTGGTGCTTGAACTCAGGGCCTGGGCACTGTTCCTGAGCCTCTTTATGCTCAAGGCTAGCACTCTACCACTTGAGCCAGAGTGCCACTCTGGCTTTTTCTGAATAGTTTACTGGAGGTAAGAATCTTGTGGAGGGGCTGGGAAGGTGGCTCAGTGGTAGAGTGCTTGCCTTATATGCATGAACCCTTGGGTTCGATTCCTTAGCACCACATAAGCAGAAAAAAACGGAAGTGGCACTGTGGCTCAAGTGGTAGAACACTAGCCTTGAGCTGAAGAGCTGAGGGACAGCGCCCAGACCCAGAGTTCAGGCCCACAACCAAAAGAAAGAAAAAAAAAAAGAATCGCATGGACTTTTCTGCCTGGTCTGGCTTCAAACTTCAATCTTCAGATCTCAGCCTCCTCTGAGTGGCTAGGATTACAGGCGTGAGTCACTGGTGCCCAGCTTACCATTTTACATTCCTGTCAGCCGTGTTTAAGGATTCCAGTTTCTCCATATCCTCAACATTGCTTATTAATTTAATTATATATAAATTTTTAAGATTGTAATTACTTAATTTTATTTTACACTAGGTGGGAGACACAAAGCAATCCTCCTTAATAAAGTTGACAATGAACTTCACTCAGAACATTTTTAATAATGCACATTAAAAAAAAACTATTCATCTAACAAATTGTTCTGCAATCCAAACATACAATAGCTTGGAAAACATTTTAGAAAACAAAAGCCAATGTAAAAAGACAGATTAAAACAAGTAGAACAGTACAGGTTTTATATGGCTCAGATTTTACAATTTTCTTACTGCATCATCAATGTCAGAAATCTGTTCCTTCAGCTGGCTCCATTGCTCCAGATTTAAAGAAATACCTTTTCTTCCTGGCTTCATTTCACCTTCTGGATCCATCCAATATTCTCTAATATCAATTAGAACTTTCCCTATAAAGTCCTGAACACTTATGTATCTCATTTTCCCAATGTGAAGCGTGTTGTCATCTCTGCTGCTGCTGCTCTGCTTAGAAGATGCCAGAGCTCTCGAAGTCTCACCTGTCTTTTGCTTTTTTATAGGCTTTTCTGTAGTAACTTGCCTTTTCCCCTTTAACTTTTTGTCAACTTCACTGTCAGAATCACTGCCAGAAGAGCTTGAAGAAACAAGTTCCTTTGATTTAGGCATTGCTCTGCTCTTGCACACCAACAGGCTTGAGCTCGCTCGCTCTGGACTCTAATTATATTCTTAATATGTGTGATAATGATAGCTCATTGTGGTTTTGATTTGCATTTTTCTGATGACTCATATTGGAATATCTTTTCATGTGCTTATTGGCCATTTGTATAACTTCTTTGGAGAAATACCTATTCAGATCCTTTGCGTATTTTTAAGCTTGGTAGTCTGTCTTTTTATTGTTAAGTTACAGTTACTTATGTACTCTGAGATACATGATTTGCAGCTGTTTCTCCCCTTGTGTAGGTTTCTTTTTGCTTTCTCATGCTTTTGTTGGCAAATCTTAGCTTCCACTGTCAAGTCTAAAGTTATAGAGATTTATTTACTACTATTTTCTCCTAAGAGTTTTATAGATTTAACTCTTGAAACACTTTGTTTCTTTGTGTACAGTATACAATAGGAGTTCAATTTCATTTGTTTGTTTTAGAGACCCAATTGTTCCTGCAATTGAAAAGAAATTCGAAAATAATATTCTTCCCTCATTGAATAGTCTTGGAACCTTGTTAAATCATTGATGTATGGGATCCTTAAAAATTCTTTTCCTTTGGTCTACATTTTTTTTAACTTGGGCACTGTGCCTTAGCTTTTGTTGCTCAAAGTTGGTTTTCTATTTGAACCACAGCTCCACTTGTGGCTTTTTTGTGTGGCTAATTGATGATAAGAGTCTTATGAACTTTTCTGCCCAGGCTGGCTTCAGGTCTTCAGGTCTCAGCCTCCTGAATAGCTAAAATTCCAGGTGATGTCTAGCTCTATGCCAGTACTTCTGTTTTAATTACTATAGCTTTATAGTCTTTTTTTTTTTTGGGGGGGAGGGGGGGTCCGGTCGTGGGCCTGAACTCTGGGCTTGGGCACTGTCCCTCAGCTCTTCAGCTCAAGGCTAGAGCTCTACCACTTGAGCCACAGTGCCACTTCCGGCTTTTTTCTTTTTGCTTATGTGGTGCTGAGGAATGGAACCCAGGGCCTCATGCACGCAAGGCAAGCGCTCTACCACTGAGCTACCTTCCCAGCCCCTATAGTCATTTTTAAAGTCAGGAAGCATATGTCTTTCAATTTTGTTGCTTTTAAAGATTATTTTGAACCAGACACTGGTGGCTTAAGCCTATAATCCTAGCTACTCTGGAGGCTGAGATCTGAGGATCACAATTCATAGCCAGCCTGGGCAGGAAAATCCGTGAGACTCTTACCTTCAGTTAACCACCAGAAAACCATAATTGGTGCTGTGGTAGGGTGCCCACCTTGAACTGAAGAGCTCAGGGTCAGCACTCAGGCCTAGAGTTCAAGCCCTACGGCTGACAAAGAAAGAAAGGAAGAAAGAAAGAAGATTGTTTTGATTATTCAGAGCTCTTTTCAATTCCATTGAATTTGAAGATTAGCTCCCCTGCCCCCTCCCCCCCTGCAACCCAAACAGACTATTAGAATTTTGTTAGGGGTAGCCTTCAATCCATAGATCACCCCTACAATATTGTCTTCCTGCACATAGACTATGTCTTTCCATTTATTTAGATAGTTGTTAATTTTTCTTTTTTGTCAGTCATAGGGCTTTAACTCTGGGCCTGGGCACCTGCTCTACCACTTGAGCCTCAGTGCCACTTCTGGCTTTTTGGGTGGTTAATAGGAGATAGAGTCTTATACACTTTTTGGCCCGGGCTAACTTTGAACCATGATCCTTAGATCTCAACTTCCTGAGTAGCTAGGATTATAGGCGTGAGCCACTGGTGCCTGCCCAGCTGTTAATTTCTTTCAGATAGCATTTTTGTTGGTTGTCCCTATCTTTCCAATTCAAGTGATTAGCTGATCATTCCATTCGCATGTACAGCCAGAAAACTAACTTCACTTCCATCTCTGTTTTCTCTTCTTTATTTACTAAAAACTTTCCATGTTGGAGGCACTTTGTTATATTAATGACAGTATTGAACTGAATAACTGTTACAGAAATAATTTCATATAGAAGACAGCAACTTATACCATGTTATGAAAAATTAGAGTCAGGAAAGATTAAACCTAGTCAGAGATGCAACCTTCCCCCTATTGAGGAGATTGCACTGGGAAACAGATGGTAATACAAGTCTTTCCAGAAAGAGGAAGCACATGGGCAGAGGTCAATACAGTGTTGTTTAGTCAGACTATGGGACAATGGAGAAAAGGGAAAAAGAGTTTAGGTCCTTGAACGCTATGTTTTAGTAAGAAATGGGAAGCCACTGAAGGTTTTGAGCAAGCATATACACTGACATGATTTGAACAATACTAAGGGAAAAAAATAATCTCTTAATAGTGGCTTAGACTGATTTGGAAAGACTGATTTGGAGAGACTGGTTTTGGAAGAGTCTGGAGAAGAAGTCTGAGAGGATGCTTATGTGTATTTATATTTGCTGTAAAAATGAGTTTCAGATTCTTTGTTTACATCACCCAGCTTTTCTTTAAACTATTTTTTGTTGTTGTATAAAGCTTCATTCTCACTTTTACTTATCCATTTTCCTATATTTGATTTTGAACTTTATGTTCCAGGATTATAGTGTCACCTATGGCCATTGCCCAGAAATCACCATATACACAAGCTGCTGCTACTTTCCTAGTGCAGCTCAACTCCCTTCCCTGTGGGCAGAAAACAAACGCTCTCTTCTTAGCATGTTGGTGGAGGTAAGTATTTTTTCCTAGTATTGGGCTTCAAACCTAGGTCTTGTACAATGCTAGGCTGTATCACAGGAGTATATTCATCAGAAAACTTTGTCAGAACATTATCATCATCTTTTGCCAAAAATTTGTATTATTTATTTTGACTATATATAAGAAAAAGTATTTGTTCATTTTCTCACCAAAATAGACACCAGGCATTCATACACCTGGAGTCTGCTATTGTTTGACCTTGTGAGATGTTGCACGTTCCTCAAGCTGAAGATCATCCAGAGTTACTGGAGTCAGTGTACATGGTAGGAAGGAAGTCATTCAAGGCATTCAAGGATTAGGTTCTGGTACTGGGATTTGAACGCAAGGTCTTATGCTTGCTGCCTGTAGGTGGGGGCTCTTTTACCTTTTAGTTTTCCAGGTAGAGTCTCTTGCTTTTTTTCTCAAGGCTCGTTTCAGACCTCAAACCTCCTACTTACGTTTCCTGAGCAGGTGGGATTATAGGTGGATGCTACCACCACATCCCTCTTGTTTTATGAGATGGGAAGGTGTCTCACTAACTTTTTTTTATTGGCTGGCCTCCAACTGTTAGCCTCCTGATCTCTGCCTATGGAGAAACTGGAAATATAGTCATGAGCCAACACACTTGACTTGAAGATCGGGTTCTAATGCTTTACATTTTCACTTTCATACTATTCTTTCTTTTCTCCATCTCTGTGACTATGAAGTATTGGATGAGTCACAAATATGATCAGGATCAGTTGGGAAGAAGGACTGAATGAGACTTTCAGTGTTGATTGGAGTTTGGGTTTTCTTGTTGCTGGTTTTTTGTTTTGTTTTGTTTTATTTTTGATAGCAGGGATGAAATACATACTACATAAGCATTGTACCACTAACCTATATCCCCAGGCTTGGCTTTGCTGGCTGGTCTCCCTTCTCCTCACCTCCCTTTCCTACCCTTCCCCTCCCCTTTCTTCCTTTCCCATTCCCTTTTTCCTCTCCTTTCCTCTCCTCTCCTCTCCTTCCTTTTTTTCCTTTCTGTCTTTCTTCTTTCAGACAGGGTCTGGACTTGAACTCACAATCTTTCTACCTCAGTCTTCCAAGTAGCTGGGATTACAAATGTGCACCACTATATCTGACAAGATGTGTGTGCATACTATTCATTTTTGATCATACCTCAAGCTATTGTCCTTAGAATACCTGACATTATAAAAAACATAAAATTGTATTTTAAACATTATTTTCAGGTTCACAAGGGAGTTCATGGATTTGTTAAAGATAAGACTGGAAAGCCAATCTCAAAAGCAATCATTGTGCTCAATGAAGGAATAAAAGTCCATACAAAAGAAGGAGGGTACTTCCATGTACTGCTAGCTCCAGGTGTCCATAACATCAACGCCATCGCTGATGGGTACCAGCAACAGCATTCACAGGTGTGAACTCAAATGGAATGGTAGTTTGTAGATTCTTATTCTCAGTAATATTCCTATCTTACTTTAAAACTCCTGTTAGAAAGCATGAAGGGAATAAAGAAAACTAGCACCTCTTGATTATACTCTTGATTATACTATGCTATTACCTTTGGTTGCCAAATGATATCTTTCTGTTGATTTTTTTTTTTTTTTTTTGTCAGTTGTGGGCCTGAACTCTGGGCCTGGGCGCTGTCCCTCAGCTCTTCAGCTCAAGGTTAGCCCTCTACCACTTGAGCCACAGCGCCACTTCCGGCTTTTTCTGCTTATGTGGTGCTGAAGAATTGAACCCAGGGCCTCATGCATGCAAGGCAAGCACTCTACCACTGAGCTACCTTCCCAGCCCTTTCTGTCGAATTTTTATAGCATTTTGTATTCTTTTTTTTTTTTGGGGGGGGGGGCAGTCATAGGGCCTGAACTCTGGGCCTGGGTGCTGTCCCTCAGCTCTTCAGCTCAAGGCTAGCGCTCTACCACTTGAGCCACAGCGCCACTTCCAGCTTTTTTCTTTTTGCTTATGTGGTGCTGAGGAATCGAACCCAGGGTCTCAGGGATGCAAGGCAAGCAATCTACCACTGAGCCACCTTCCCAGCCCTAGCATTTTGTATTCTTTAGAAGACAACAAATCACCTTCTTGGTTTGCTCTGCAGCCCCTGCACCTTTAATGCTCCAAGGCTACAATACAGACTTGTGCTAATTCTTGGACTTTATCCTTCTAGGTCTTTGTGCATCATGATGCAGCTAGCTCTGTGGTAATAGTGTTTGACACAGATAACCGGATATTTGGTTTGCCCCGGGAGCTTGTGGTAACTGTATCAGGTAACGAATATTTCATTTTTAGTATATGAAATTAAAATGTCTTTTCCCCCCCATCCTGGGGCTTGAACTCTGGGACTAGGCCCTGTCCCTGAGCTTCTTTTGCTTAAGGCTAGCACTCTACCTCTTGAGCCACAGCACCACTTCCTAAAACCAGTCCTGTCATTTCACTTCTGGGTGTGACTCACCTTCATAATCACAGCTAGTTGCTATTTTTCCTAATGCTTCCTTATCTAAACATAGTTGTCCTGAGCCACTCTTCTCGCCACCTCACCTGTGCAGTCTGTACTAAATTTACGTCTTCAGGGAGGCCTAGCTAACTCAGCACCCCATCATTACCTCCGTCACAATATTATTTATATATTTTTTCGCTTATTATTCAAATTTAATGTCTCCCACTAAAACATAATCTGTGGGCAACAAGGAGTTGATCTGCACCCCCAGAGCCTAGAGGCATCACAAGACATAGTAGATCATAATGAAGAGTTGGTATCTGAGGAATAGTTTGCTTTAGATTAAGATCGTACAGGTTCCTTGGAGTTTGACTTGTATTCTGGTTTTCCAGAATCCAGGAAAAAGGAAATGTTTGGTTTCTTCCAGGGTCAATTTGTGCCATGGTTTGAATTAATGAAAGTTTGCAGGGTGAGGAATGCTGCACTTTTGGATTGTGTCTGCTTGGTTGAACCAGATAAAGTGTGAAGAACTTAATGGATTCAGCCATCATTTAAATCTAGCTATGCCACCCAATATGTATTTTGAGGTTAATTGCTATTTTGATGATGATGGTGATGATGATGATGATGATGATTCTAAAACTCTTGCTTGCAAGGCAAGCACTCTGCCACTGAGCCACCTTCCCAGCCCCATTGTTTTGGTAATTTTTTTTGTATAAGTTAAAAGTAAAACAGGGCTTTTTGATGAAATAGAAAATTACTGAAAAGAAAAAGTAGAAGTCACTGATTGATTAAAAAGCAGGTTTTAGAGTTGAGAATATAGCTCAGTGTTAGAGCACTTGCCTAGTATATACTAGGTCCTGGGTTTGTTCCCCAGTGCAAAATAACAACAACAAAAACTCCAGGTTACAGAAATATAGATACTATAATTTCACTGTGGTAAAATAGGAAATACACATGCAAAAAGAAAGATCTGAGAAAGTAAGATAAATACCATTTCTGGGTACTAGAAACATTAATTGCTTAAAGATGTGAGCCTTGATTTTCTTTATCTAGTTTAGTTTAGTTTCATTGTGCTAGTACGATAGCTTGAACCCAGGGCATTGTGCTCTCACCAAACTTGCTTATTCATGACTGGCACTCTACTCTGCCTCCTGTCTGGCATTTTGATGGTTAATTGGAGGTAGAGTCTTTCAGATTTTCCTGTGTGGACTGGCTTAGAACTTTGATCCTCCAGATCTCAGCCTCTTGAGTTGCTAGGATTACAGGTGTGAGGCCACCTGTAATAATAATAGGTTGTTTGGTAGGCAGGGTACTGAAAATTGAACCTAGGATGGCAAATGCTCTACCATGGAGGCACATCCAAAGCTGTAAAAGCACTTGTTTGTATCCTAAAAGCATAATACTCACATAATTGTTGTTGTTGGGCAGGTGCCACCATGTCAGCATTGATCCTAACAGCTTGCATTATCTGGTGCATCTGCTCAATCAAGTCTAACAGACACAAAGATGGCTTCCATCGGCTCAGACAACATCATGATGAGTATGAAGATGAAATTCGCATGATGTCAACTGGCTCCAAGAAGTCCCTCCTCAGCCATGAGTTTCAGGATGAAACAGACACAGAAGAGGAAACATTATATTCTAGCAAACATTGAAAAAGACACTTTGCATATCTCCCAGCATAAGTACCAAGCAAAATGACAGTTCCTCTTGGGAGACTCTGCATTAAGAAGAAACTGTCTTGCTTCTTCAAAAAGCTTTGGGAAGTTACCTTGCTAAATTTATATCCTTTGTGAATTTCGCTGGCAGTTTTGAACTTCCCTTCTTTCAAGTACTCTTAACCTTTTTCAAAAAAAATCTGATTTCTATTTATGCAGCAGAGATGAGACAACCAGTTTGTTTTTTGTTTTACTTTAAGATGAGCTATTTGGAGCTTATATAACAACAGCATAAAGCCAACTAGTGGATGTTGTATTTTGCACATCGGGTATTTTACTAGTGGCTTTGGTTTTTCTTCTTTTGTTTTCCTTTATTTTTAAGGCCAAAAGAATCTAGATATATTAAGGCAGGGACAGCAGTCAGACTCTGACATAAAGCTTTAAATACTCAAGGTTTTTCTCAACCTACTGAGGAGTACTCTTCTCTAGTTATCAAATAGCTGGAGTTTCTCTTATTCAGGTTTAATGGAGGCTGAATGATTTTCAAACATGTATGACATAAGAAAATGAATAAATGGGCTTCCGAATTTGTCTTTCTACCTGTTTCCAGGCTAGATCAGAACAGGTGGGCTAGCAGGATTTCACTACCTCTCTTGTAAGGTTTGACAAAGTTCTAAATCTCCTCATTTTAAGGGAGATCTCATTGACTGTGGAAGATCTAAACGTCCCCTTGAATGGAGATGAGAGGGAGATACTAGCAAAAGCTGAAACTCTCATTGCCTATCTTTTAACTTGGTAAAAACCCACAGGTGCTGCTGCTCTTATCTGTGAAGCGCTAGTTGATTCTAGGAATGCCTAATTCTTCAATAGTTCCTAAATTCAAGCCTTTTTCTATGTTATACACTTATGGTTTTCAGATGACCTAGCCATCTACAAGTTCTGAATTCTACTGAACAAATCTGGAAGTGTGGATGAACCTACCTGCACATTTGAACATACAGTATCTATAGTCCGTGCTCCAGCCCCAGCCTTCGCCCTTAAAGCATACCATTAGTGAACTAGTGTCACCAGTGTTGTTCCTGGCAGGCCTCTGCAAGTGATTGGGTTCTTTGACCTACAGTTTCATTTGACACTGTCTTTTTTTTCTCAACAGCCAGTTTTGTTAAAAGTTCAGTTGAAAGCCTTTAACTATGGCTTTCCCCACTTAAAAAAATGTAAACTAAGGATTGTGTGTGATATAATACTGTGGTGTGTAAGTATCATCTTCACTGCCCATCAGGTCAAGACCTGAAAGATATGCATTTGACTGTGTCCATCTCATGCTATTCAGTGGAAATGATACTTTTGTTAAGTATGAGTCCTATCAATGATGTAATGGTTTAATACCTTTGAATGTGTTAATGGTCAAGTTGCTGCTGAATTTGTACTAAATCAGGGGATAAAAAAAACTAGCTCTTATTCTTTCAAACTGTATTCATATCTATTAATGTATCACTTATCCCAAAGCCTTCATGTGGAAGGGTTTGCTCAATTCACCTAGGTCATTCCACCAGGTTTTTATGAGGAATGAATCCAACATGGCTTTATACAATAGAGATCTCTTTAGGAAGCATAATGAGGACATGACGTGTGTCAGCAAATATCTGTGATAAGCTTGGGTGGCTTAAGGTTGAGCCATTCTAGTACTGATCCTGGCATTAGTAACCCCAAATTTCACCACTTTCACTCACATCCCATATACACACAGAGTTTGTGGGATTCTAATAATGAATGAAATATACATAATTTGATTTCTTCTAATAACACTTTGTTTTCTGTAAGTAAATGGGGTATTGCTTTATTTTTAAGAGGGCAAAGTCAGAAAACCAACAGGAGTCCTACAAGTTGCTGGCCCTGCTTGGGACATTGCACCTAAAAATGAAACCAACCTGCTGGGACAGCCTTGGCTTTATTAGCATTGGCCTTCACTAAAGGATACCTTCATATTTACTTCTGTCTCAAATTAAATGCATCTTTAATATACATTTTTAAAGGCCAGGCCTTTTAAGTATATATAAAACTTTTCATTTTAGAGATGAACATAGTTCTTTTAGTATTTATTCTTGAAATGGAAACCAAATCCTGAGATTAAGTCTTCAAACTTTAATAAATGTCTAAATAATGCATTTAGCAAAGAAACAAGGCCTTTTTGGGGGCTTATCAACATGAATGTACAGGATCTATGACTACTAAGACTGTGTTCTCAGCCCTGCTCTGTCTTTTATTTGTGAATCTAGTGTAATATTAGAACATATGAACAGCAGAAGGCATTGAAGCCATATGGGCTTGGGGAATGCATTTCTTCAGTATTTCTCCTAGACATGCCATTCCCTTGGAGTCACAGAGGCACATTAAGTATCACAGTATTAAGATATTGGCTCAAATCTCACTTGTGCCCTTCTTTACTCACAAGGCATGGTTTTGTCCTAGTGATCAGTTTGTAAGCCTTCTTCCTTCCCAGCTCCTTAAACAATAAAAGTAAAGTGATTGAGGAAGTCATGTTCAAAGTGTCTGCCTGTGTAAAATGTACTCATACTGATCATATAGTTAAGTAAAATGAGTCCAAGTTATCAGGAGGAAAAAGCTGTTGGGTTTCCATGTACTTGGCAGAACTCTTGGGTAGTGAGTGGGACCCCATCCAGTTGAGAAATGCATGAAATTCTTACCACAGGGAATTCGCTTTGGGACTTTGTCATAAAAAGGAAACTTTACATTTTTGGCTCAGTGTAATTGAATGGTTAATCTTTGGTGATTTTCATCTGAATAACTGAATTAGTGAATATTGAACTTAAAATGAATTATGAGTTGACAAACTAATAAAAGATAAGTGTGTATGTCTGAACTTACTGCGTTTCTGAGCTAGCCCCAGGTTACTCAGTTACCATGACCTGAACTCCATTTCCATTTATTCTCAGCATTAAGTAAGCTTATTTTTTGGTTAACATAAATGCACTTGTGCCTGGTTTTATCCTTGCTGTATTAAAAGCTTCCTGTCTATGAATGCTCTAATAGTGCCCTGTATTACAGTTCCCTGGTGAAATTGTTTTAACAGTAGCAACTCGGCATTTCCCCTGTATTTTACTAAAAACCCCACTTATGTTTGATGTTCCATGATTTTCTATCCAGCAACTATCAGGGCTTTTAGTTAAAGCAGATTTGGGGAGAAGATGATTAGAGTCCTTGATTAATGTCAACAAACTTGAATTTCTAGTTCATGAAGCAATCTCTCCCAACACCCAATTCTCCTATTTTTGGTGGTAACTCATCAATTCCACTTGATTTTCAGGATATTGTCTGGTTGATTTTGATTTGACGGAATATGTTAGGAAATTTGAAAGTAGGTTATCATTTTAAAGCAATTTGAATTAAATATTATGTAAATGTGTATGCTTATGACTTTTATAAATGGCATAACACAAGTGTGCTAGCAACATCTGTGTGGCCATACTGCAGATTTTCTACAGGCATGACATCATGCTAGTTTTAGACATTTTCTTTTCACCTCTCCATTCTTTTCAGAATGAAAAATGTCCCACTCCAGAACTATCTATAGCTACTTACATGACATGCCCAATTCCCACTCATCTGAAGTGCTTCAACTTTTGCTTTAGTTTATGCACTGTGCCTTCAAAATAAAAATAAATAAATAAAAGGACTTTAAATGAAGTTGAATAGCTTAAAGAAATCAATCTGTGTAACTTATGTGAACTCTAACTGTAATGAGGTCCTTTCTGGGTTTTTTTATATGTAAACAGATCTAATCCTGTATAAAAGTTATTTTATGATGTTTGTCTTTCTTTGTGTTTTGTCTTAATCATTTTTGAAAAGCAATAGACCAGGGAAAGTTATTGTTCTAATTTTAACTTTATATTTCACTTTTCTCCCAATACTAGTTATACAGGTTATCACCTATAAGAATGTTTCTGTCTCTGGGTAAGTTCAGAAACTAACCCACAAAACAGGTTTTGTTTCAGAATAAGCTGGGTTTGTTAGCTCATCTGGAATGATAAATGTTCAATATTTCCACCATGATGCCATAACCAATAGCAACCCAGCATTTAACACTCAGCCATTTCCTGTCTCTCTGTGCCCTGTCTTTAGGATCAAGAAAGGTTGAATGGTTTATTACCCTTTTTTTTGGGGGGGGGGGGGTCTGGTCATAGGGCCTGAACTCTGGGCCTGGGCACTGTCCCTCAGCTCTTCAGCTCAAGGCTAGCACTCTACCATTTGAGCCACAGTGCTACTTCCGGCTTTTTTTTTTCTTTTTCTTTTTGCTTATGTGGTGCTGAGGAATCAAACTCAGGGCCTCTGGCATGCAAGGCAAGCGCTCTACCACTGAGCCACCTTCCCAGCCCCTATGACCCATTTTGAACATGTTAAAATTGTCCTTTGGGAGCTGCTAGTACGGCTCAAGTAGAAGAATGCCTTTCTAGAAAATTCAAGGTCCTGAATTCAAAATTCAGTTCCAGCAACAACAACAACAATTTGTAATCCTTTTTCTAGGTGAAGCCCAGTTAGAATAATGTGCCCTGGCACCTTCAGGCCCAGTGACAATGAGTTCAGTAAACCCCTTGTCATTTATAACAATTGGTAGATACTGCTACTCTAATAAGGACTGGGAAAGCAAAGTTTTTTATAGGAAACATGGGCTTTGATAACTAGGAAGTAACTCAAAGCACACACTTTGAGAAATAGAAATGGAAATAAGCTATACTTCAGTTGTGTTTGTTTCCTCTGAAAAGAAAGCTGCTTGTAGGTAGAGGAGAGAGCTTAGACTACTCAGAGATTGATTCTTAGCTCTCCCATTTGCTGCTTCTGTGGTCTTGTAGTACACAAGTCTCAGTTTCATACTGTGTGAGGAATAATCTCTGGTAGGACTGATTATATATGGGAATGAAATGAAGTGACATTAGCACCTCTCAGAATTGAGTGTCCATAGTAGCTAGCATAATTTCCTTTGTTCCCTATCTTCTGATCCTTTTGAAAGAAAATTATTTTTGTTAGCTACATGAATAAAGATCTTTCAACAGATGGTCTTTTTTAATTCAGAAGATTAACTAGATATGAGTACTTACTGGAAGTTTTCTTGCATTTTGTAGTTTAATAGATTGTCTAATTTTTTTTCTTTGAAGAGGGTTTTATTTTTAAATTGATTTATTTATTTTGTCAGTCATGGAGTTTGAACTCAGGGCCTGGGTGCCGTCGCTGACCTAATTAAGGCTAGCACTCTACCACTTAGTTTTCTGGTGGCTAATTGAAGATGAGTCTTACAGACTTTCCTGCCTGTATGGTTTCAAACCATGATCCTCAGATCTTAGCCTCCTGAGTAGCTAGAATTACAGGCATGATCCATAAGCACCTGGCTTTGGGAGGTGTTTTTTTCTTTTTTGGGGGGGGGGGGTGTCCAGTCGTGGGCCTGAACTCTGGGCCTAGGCGCTGTCCCTCAGCTCTTCAGCTCAAGGCTAGCACTCTACCACTTGAGTCACAGCACCACTTCCAGCTTTTTTTTTTTTTTTTCTTCTGCTTATGTGGTGCTGAGGAATTGAACCTAGGGCCGCATGCATGCAAGGCAAGCGCTCTACCACTGAGCCACCTTCCCAGCCCTGGTAGGTTGCTTTGTTTTTGTTTTTTGACAGTACTGGGGTTTGTAGTCAGGGTTTCAAGCCTGCCAGGTAGATACTCTACCACATGGGCCATATTTCCATACTGTTTTGCTTTTAGTTATTTTTCAAGAAGAGTCTCAAGTTTTTGCCTAGGACTGGTCTCAGACTGTGATCTCCTCCCTATCTACAACCTCCCATGTAGCTAGGATGAGAAGTATACCCCACTGTGCCCAGCTCATTGATTGAAACAGTCTCACTAACTTTTTGCCTGGGTTGTTCTTGAACTGCAATTCTCCCTGGTATCTGGGATTAGAAAGGTGATGCGCAATGTCACCCTACCAACAGTAAAGTTTTGATTGTCCCTAATGTTTCATAATTTTTAAATAAAATTAGATTGCATTTAGTCTTCTATGAAGCCTTATTTAACTGCTACAAGAAGTCTGGATAGTGATAATGGCTTTATGTGCTAATGTTTAATACTGTTTCCTAAATTTTTTTAAAATACCTGAATCAAGAATCCTTTGGATTTGTTCATAAATAGTAATCTGCTGATTCTATTCAGTTTGTCAGATACCTTGGAGTTGGCAGTTATCAGTAATATAGATATGACAGTCACTGAATACATGACTCAGTTATAAGGAAGAGCCCCTGTATACGTCTTCATCTTGTTCAAGAGCCAAGTGACTCCACAGTATGCACTGCAAACCTCAGATAATTACACGATTCTTCCCCAGAACTTCAAAAGCAATGAAACCAGCCAGGTACCAGTAGTTCATGGCTGTGATCCTAGCAAACTCAGAGAGCTGAGAGCTGAGGATCATGGTTTGATGCCCGCCTGGGCATCAAATAAGAGTCCATGAGACTTATTTCAATTAACCACCAAAAGGCCAGAAGTAGAGCTGTGGCTAAGGTGGTAGAGCACTATGCTTGAGCAGAAACGCTCAGGGATAGTATCCGTGCCCTGACCCAGGACCAGCACACATACACATACACACCACATACACACGCATGTACGCACGCACATGAAAAATCAGAAAATGAAGGCCAATTTCTGTTTCATATTACAATTTCCACCTATGTGAACCAGCAGAATGTTGAAGCAAACATTTAAATCTTTAGGACGTTTGGCTGAGGTTATATGAAATCCTGTTCTGTTATTGTATGAACAAATGAACAAATGTGGACAAGAGGAGCAAGGTAACATCACCTATATGGAGTAAAAAGGTGTTCAGCATGGTCAACCTGGAAGAAACAAGATATAGGACAAGTGCTGGGGGACTAGCCTGAAGGCAGTGAACATGGGGGTATATTGATGTGAATGCCTCAACTTGAGCAAAAATATTGTATTGATTCAACTGGTGCAACTTAAAGAGGCAGTGATAAAGCTATACATCTTCAAGATGGAACATACAATGCAGGTTAAATAGAAATTATTATGACGGGCTGGGAAGGTGGCTCAGTGGTAGAGCACATGCCTTGCATGCCAGAGGCCCTGGGTTCAATTCCTCAGCACCACATAAGAAAAAAGAAAAAAGCTAGTAGTGGTGCTGTGGCTCAAGTGGTAGAGTGCTAGCCTTGAGCTGAAGAGCTGAGAGACAGCGCCCAGGCCCAGACCTCAGGCCCCATGACCGGACCAAAAAAAAACCAAATTATTATGACATTGTTTTCTGTGATTGTTGAGAGGGTAAGCCAAAATGAAGGGGACATAGAAAAGGTTTACATTGTTAGATCTGAGGCTTAGAGTAGAGCTCAATGATACACCATGCAGGAAGCCCTAGGTTCCATCCCCTGCATCACCACCAAAAATTTTGGAATTGCTACTAATTTCAAATATCAACTTATTCCAACATAAAGAATTACTGTCACATGTATAGCACATTGTTCCTAAAAGAGTTTTTTAAAGACCAAACAAGCTTTTGGTTCAGAATCTGAAAAAGATGTAAGTAACTTAGAAGATTTGATCCTAAAGACTGCACAGAACAGATAAGGAGTGGTTAGTATGGTGATGACTGATTTGCAGGGCTGTTGGATATTTGCTTTGTTTTGGCAGTCCTGGGCTTGAACTCAGGGGCTGGGTGCTACCTCTGAGCTTTTAGTATTCAAGCTGGCACTCTCCCACTTGAACCATAGTTCCACGTCTGGTCTTCTGGTGGTTAGCTGGAGATAAGTGTCTCCCAGACTTTCCTACCTGGGCTGGCTTTGAACTGAAATCCTCGGATCTCAGCCTCCTGAGTAGCTAGGATTACAGATGTGAGTCACCAGTACCCAGCAGCTGTTGGATTTAAAAATATATTTTAGTGTCATTTTAAATGTACAAAAGTTTCAAGGAGAATACAGAATTTAGTGTGAGGGAGGTGGATGTTGGGCGGGTAGCAAAGGAAGATTGCATACTGTTTCTATTCAGTAGGACTTGAACACATCTGGAAAGGAACTCGCATGGAAGCAAAACTAGAGTCTGGTAGCTAGGAATAGCTTGGTTGGTCCAAGCTATGGCTCAAATTATGTTGTATTGCTTCTCCATGGCAAACCCCTAGTGAAGGCAGCTCCATCCTAGAGTTGAAGGAACCTTCACCCTTTTCACCACCAGTGCAAACAAATAGAAAAAAATTCCACCTAGGTTTTAGATGTTGACATGATCAAATAGTATAAAACAAGAAGAAAAAAAAGATAAACTTAGCTGAGGAAATCACAGGGAACTACAATAGAACTTTTAGAAAGAAAAACTAAAATGGATATTTGTAATGACTAAAAAGATCTGGAGAAATGACTACATACTACAGAGATAAATAGAAAATATATGCTGGGTGAATAAAAGTAAATGTTCAGGGGCTGGGAAGGTGGCTCAGTGGTAGAGCACTTGCCTTGCATGCCAGAGGCCCTGGGTTCGATTCCTCAGCACCACATAAGCAAAAAGAAAAAAGCTGGAAGTGGCGCTGTGCCTCAAGTGGTAGAGCACTAGCCTTGAGCTGAAGAGCTGAGGGACAGCGCCCAGGCCCAGAGTTCAGGCCCCATGACTGGACCCCCCCGCCAAAAAAAAGTAAGTGTTCAATATAAAATCAGAGAATCTCAAAACTTCAAATTAAGATGAGCAGAATCACTAAATCTCAGCAAGTGCTCTCACGACATTTCCCAGCCCTGCTCCACCACCAAGCTTTGGGGGGGGGAGGGGGGGAGAGAGGCAGAAGGGAGAAGGGAGGACAAAGACAGATGGAAACAGACCACAGGGAAGACAGCAGAGGAGTGGTTGCTAGGGAAAGGATATGATGTTCTAAACACTGCTTTAAAACTACTGCCAGAAGGACAGCCCATCTCATCTGAGTGGTCTGAATGCATACAAGTAGTGTGGAAAGCACACTGGAGGGAAAGCCTTCAAAGTGAGTGACATTCAAAGAGAGCAAAGAGGGATTTTAAGAGCTACGTTTGTAACACGACATCCAGTAAAGTGAAGAAAGTGAACCGAGAAAGTGGGCAATGGTGTCTCATGCCTATAACCCAGCTACTCAGGAGGCTGAGATCTAAGGATCAGGGTGTAAAGCCAGCCCAGACAGGAAAGTCTGTGAGACTCTTTTCTCCAATTAACTACTAGAAAAAAAGCTGAAAATGGAGCTGTGGCTGTGGCTCAACGTAGAGCGCTAGCATGAGGGGAAAAGCCCAGTGTCAGTATCCAGGTCCTAAGTTCAAACCTCAGAACAGACAAAAAAAAAAAAAAGTGAACTCAGGACCTGCCCCACTCCCACATTGCCATAGAACTAATTGTATGCTGATTTTTAAAAAGTGATTAAAAAACCCAAGGAGAAACACTCTTTGACAATTAGAAATGAAAGAAAAGGGAAAATAGGACAATTTAGCATACTGCCAGCCAAATGAGAACTGCATAGTTGATGCATTTTTAATGTTTCCATCACCAAAATGAACTAAAAAAAACCCACTCAACCTGAACTTTGTTAAACTGACAAGAGATTCAATCATGAATATAGCAAGGACATTGAATTTTTAAAATAGATACATTATTGTTTGCAGATGATATAATTATGTATTTGGAAACATTTTAAAATAGGAAAAAATAGAATAAGTATGATATCTTAATTCTACTTAATAATTCTAGGCGATTGGCTTGAACTAGCCCATGTTTTCTTCCAGAACACTTAGATGACTAGGTGCCTCAGGAGGCTGAGATCTGAAGATCATGATTTGAGGCCAGCACAGGCAGACAGCCCTGGATATGAGGGTCCAGGTTTAAAACCAGACGGAGCAGGAAAATCTATAACACACTAATCTACAACTAGCCACCAAAAAGCTGGAAGTGGAGGTGTGGCTCATATGGTTGAGCACTATCCTAGAGAAGCTGTAATCTCAGGAATACCAAACTGTGCACAGGAAAGAGCCCAAAAGAAAGCCTTCTTACTAGAACAGGACTCTGGAAAGTTCAGTCTGGTAAGGCACCTGCAGACAGGACTCAAAAATCCAACAAATCGACCTTTTCCCATGGCAACATAAATATGTTAAATGAATAATAATAGCATGAATTTTGAGAGACTCTCAAGGAACACTCATGATGGGATAAATAGGACACATATGAGTCCCTGACAAGACAGACACATATGCTTCTCATCACAAGTATCTGACTCAGAGAACGATCAGTTCCAGGCAGGTTGGAGTGTACATGCTGTGAAAGTGTTAACACACTGAGGCAAAACTACAGTGATTCATTGATGATGAAGTGACATCTGATGATTCCTCCAGACATGGACCTTGATTCTGATGATTTGATATTATTGGTGGTGGTGGTGGTGATGATGTTGTTGACATCTTTGTTAATAGATGCTAACTCCAGTCCAATACATTGGTCCATGGCCAACAAAAATCCTAACAAAAACTGAATGGAAATTACAGTACATAGAAAAAGATCTCAATAGCTGGGCACCCATGGCTCATGCCTGAGGAGGCTGAAATCTGAGGATTGCCGTTCAAAGCCAGCTGGGGCAGGAAACTCCATGAGGTTCTTATCTCCAATAAACCAGAAAACCAGAAATGGTGCTGTGGCTCAAGTGGTAGAATGCTCCTCTTGAGCTGAAGAGCTCTGGGACAGTGCCCAGGCCCAGAGTGCAAGCCCAACGACTGAAAAAAAGAAAAAGATCTCAAAAGTTGATGATATGAATATTGGATATGTTCCAAATCTAAAATACAGGATTAGAACAGCAACAATGCAAAATAATTGTGTGACTGAAAACACATAGTAGATTGTGTGTGTGTGTGGGGGGGTGCTGGTCCTACGGTTTGAATTCTAGGTCTGGACACTGTACAAGGCATCTTAATTAGTCACCTCTTCCATTATTCTCCCCCCCACCTATACAATCCCCACTTGTTTCTTCAAGGCTCCTAGTTCCATTTTCACATGTGTACACTGAGTATTATGACTATATTTGTCCCCCAATCTTCTTCCCATTTGTTCATCTTCCACTTAGCCCCTGGATAGTTATTAAAACTTAAAGTGGTTTAACATCCTACTAATTGTGGCCACAAAGAAAAGAAAATTTGATGCAGAGTGTTGATCTTGCCAAGAGAAAGGCACAAGTGATTTTTGTCGTCGTTGAAGTCAAAAGGTAAACCAGTGTGCCTTGTTAGTGGTAATGCATTAGCAGTGGTGACAAAGAGCCAATCTAGAGCATCATTACTGTTCAAAACCTGCTGTGGAAGCACTCCACCCCCTCCATCCCCAAGTGCTTAAAAAAAAAGTCAACACCAGATTCTATATAAAAGACGACTCAGCATTCTTGGATCAAGAAAAAAACTAATAGAAAATTTCACCTGGAAAAGAGAGAGGACTGAGATTCAATTATAGATGGCAGAAAAGCTGCAGGTGAAGAAGGTGCTATAGAAAGTAGATGATGACGAACAGGTAGAAGTAGGATGAGGGAAAGGGCCTGTGACTGACGATGAGGGAAAACAAGGACATTTGAAGTTGATTCTCAGTGGCAAAGGAAGCACTTGATGGAGAAAAAGGATCAACGGAGACCAGGGAGATGATAAAAAAAAAAAAAAATCTAGGACACAAAAAGCACCTATAGACCGGGAGAGAGATATTTGAAGTTTCCAATCTTGCCAACTTAAAAAAGCTGTAAAACAAAAATCTGACCGCTAGGTGGAGGTGTCTTTGGAGGCTGTCGTATCCCATCGGCCCTGGCGCTCAGGGAGAAAGCAGGCCCGGAGGTGACGCTCTAGGCCGCGTCGCCTCTGTTCTCCTGTTCCGCCTGACGTTGAGCTACAAAGATGGCGGCAGGAACCAGCAATTACTGGGAAGGTGAGGGCGAGGCCTCCGGGTGGGTCCCGCGCGGGTCCGAGGGGCCGAGTGGGGCTGGGTCTTGCGGGGAGGCGGTAGAGGAAAGAGCTAGGTCTCCGGAGTTGCCCTGCCAGGGGGTCGGAACCCCGAGGCCTGGGAACTTGAGGCGGGGGGCCCGGCCAGACTGGATGGGGTGAACGGGCCCGGGGTGGGGGTTCTGCGGAGGGGCCGCGGCCCACCGGGAGAGGACGGGCGGCCGGAGTCCGCAGGGAAACGAGCCGACGGACCGAGAAACGGATGAGCCGTCCGTGACCACGAACTCCGGCCAGGAAGGTCCGGAGCCCCAGCGCTGAGGTCATGCCCAGGAAGAGAGTGGCAAAGAGGAGGAACTTACCAGTCCGGGCCAGACGGGAATCTGTGTCTCTGTACTGGGGCTCCTTTGGGAGCTTCAGACCGAGAATTGGGTGTTTTTAAACAGAAAAAAAATAACTTTACCTTCTCCCCCGGGGTCTAGGAGACCGTTTTTAAAAAGAGAAAAGTTGTATACACGTTAGCTATAACTCTTCCACCAGAAATCCTGTCTTACTGAACTCTTGAAAATAGGGTCCAATCAAGTGAAATCCTATAAAACTCAGGCCTGGACCATGACAAACAATGATAAAGAGCAGGCTCGCCTTCTTTCTCTGTACTTGACATAAAAAGTACTCTCCAAATCCCTTTGCCCTTTTGACCTGTTTCCACCTGTCACCCACTTAAAGCCTTAGAAATGGAATGTTTTAAGTTCATCCATACTCATCTGTCATGTTTTCTACATAATTCTACGTGATGTTGAAGTGTGGTTGTGGTTTAAAGCACGCATCAGAATCCTTATTTGAAGTATATTAGGATGCACTTTTAAATTATGTAGAAGTGGCTACTGATAACTTTAATACTAGTTAGTATGCTAGGGTTTTTTGAAACACCATCCTCTAGTAAATATAGCAGCTCACCATGGGCACCCTACACTGTGCCAGGTGCTTTAAGTATGTGATTGATTACTGATGTATAAAATAACCCTGAAAGGAGAAATTAAAAAAAAAAAAAGTAGAGGTTCTTCGGTATTAACTAGGTTGTTACTAAATCTCAGAGCCAAAGTGTGGCTGAGCTGAGATTCAAACTGGGATTTGATCTCTGGACAAATAAGTTCTGCTATGTTATTCTGCTTCCTACTTCTGATTGCAAAATATTGTAATCTTTACCCTGTGACATTCTTATCATATTCGTTCCTGTGTTTCAGCCCTTATCTTTTAACCTCCATGACTAAGAGTACTCAGATAGGTAGGTAGGTAGGTAGGTAGATAGATAGATAGATAGATAGATAGATAGATAGATAGATAGGGCTTTCTAGATATGACTGGTCTTAGGCCTTACCACCCTGAACGCGCCCCATCTCATCTAGATAGGACGCCTCTCATTCATCCCCTTAGATGCCAAAGTACTGCACCAGCCTTTCTGCTTGCTCACTTCTACTTTGAAAACTTGCTTGTTTCTGTATTTCTCCTACACTTGTATCTAACCTTCTTAGTAAGACATTGCTTCACCTCCATTTCTTTTCAACAATTTTTTTGTTAGTTTTTTTGCCAGTCTTGGGGCTTGAACTTAGGGCCTGGGCACCATCCCCAAAGCTTCTTTTGCTCAAGGCTAGCTCTCTACCACTAGAGTCACAGCCTCACTTCTGGCTTTTTCTGTTTATGTGGTACTGAGGAATCGAACCCAGGTCTTCATGAATGCTAGGCAAGCACTCTACCTCTAAGCCACATTCCTAGCCCTTTAATGAATTTATAAAAAAGGCAGCTTTAAACTGGTGGTTTACGCCTGTAATCCTAGCTGCTAGTCTGTGACCTAGAGGATCATTCAAAACCAGCCCAGGCAGAAAAATCTGCAAAATCACATCTCCAATTAACCAGCAAAAAGCTAAGCTAGAGATGTGGCTCAAGTGATAGAACAAGGCCCTAAATTCAAACTCACCTACACATACCAATTTTAAATTTTGGGTAATTTAATTTTTCTTTATGGCTAATTACTAAGGTATTTTACTATTATGAAAAGAATTCCATAAGTAAGCGTAGCAAAGTTTTGGAGCATACAGACTGCAAAATTTTTGTCAGAAACAGTGATGGCTTTTTATAAAGTTATTGGGTAAATTGCTGTGAAACTGGCCATAAACCATACTCGTTTTCTTTGTGATCTATATTTGTATCTTGCTTTTCTCTGAATTACAGAATTTTAGTATTGATGAACATTTGTTTAGCTGTTTGGGGATGGAAGCTGAAAGTTTTCTACTTTCCAACTGCTTCTGCATTTCTTGCCCCATTTAAAGTTTAAATAAGTGACTGCTTTTTTTTTCTTGGGTCTTTGGCTTTCCTCTTTTAATACTTTACAAGAGAGAACTAGATCAAAGATCAAAATATGTTCATTTTCATGGTTTGCTTTCTTCAGAATAATCTTTTGTTTTTCATGTCAATTGATGGACTTTGTGTCTAATTACTTTTATAATTTTGTTAAAGATCTCAGGAAACAGGCCCGACAGCTGGAAAATGAGCTTGACCTGAAACTGGTTTCCTTCAGTAAACTGTGTACAAGTTACAGTCACAGCAGTGCCCGAGATGGAAGACGCGACAGGTATAGGTACTACCAGATTCTGTCTCTTATGCCTTACACAATATGTTTTTAAAGCATAAAAAAATAAACTAAAATATCTAACTCTGCAAATTGGTCTGTTGGTGAATTTTTGGTGTTTTATTTTCTTTGCCAATGATTGTTTTATTTTTTAATGACTTACTGAAATTTCTCATAATTCTTAAAGTATTTATTCGTGGTCCTTAGGCAAAGACTGATGTTCTCAGGAGAAAGCTGCTAGAGCTTCAAAGTGGGTTTAAATCTCAAAGAGTTTCTAGCTTAGTGTAAGGAAATGTGGCTGATTTGTCCGTTTAGTGTTTGTTCATTTTTTGTCGATCATGAGGCTTAAACTTGGGGCCTGAGTGCACTTTGAGCCATAACATCACTTCTAGTTTTCTGGTGGCTAATTAGAGCTAAAAGTCTCATAGTCATTCCTGCCTCAGCTGGCTTCAAACTGCACTCCTCAGATCTCAGCCTTCTGAGTAGCTAGGATTACAGGTGTGAGCTGCCAGCATCTGGCTCCCACTTAAGTTTTTTTTTTTTTAAGAAATATTTTTTCTTTTTTTTTTTTTTTTGCTTAAATTGTTTTTTATTACCTCGTGAGAGGCATGGCTTAAAAAATATGGAACGCTTCACGAATTTGCGTGTCATCCTTGTGCAGGGGCCATGCTAATCTTCTCTGTATCGTTCGAATTTTAGTATATGTGCTGCCGAAGCGAGCACAAGAAATATTTTCTTAATTGATAAATGGATGAAGTAGCTAGCCAAATGCAAAGTATACCTACTGCTTTTCTGGTATTTATTCTTTTAGAAGGAATTTAATGTATGTCCTCACTGTTAATCATTGCCGCTATTTTTATGCTTGGTACTTGAGAAATATATATGGTATATATATATATATATATATATATATATATATATATGTATGTATATATATAATATATTGCTATAGAGAATCTATGGGAAGTATATTCTTTTTTTTTGGTCTGTCGTGGGGCTTGAACTCTGGGCTTAGGTGCTGTCCCTGCGCTTCTCAACTCAAGGTAAGTGCTCTACTGCTTGAGCCACAGTGCCACTTCCGGTTTTCTAGTGGTTTATTGGAGATAAGAGTCTCACAGACTTTCCTGCCCGGGCTGCCTTTGAACGGAGATCCTCAGATCTCAGCCTCCTGAGTAGCTAGGATTACTGGCGCGAACCACCGGCGCCTGGCCTGGGAAGTTTATTCTTTTCAGTCCTATGCTTACTTTCATCCACTTGTTTAAAAGAAGTTCAAGGAAGCCAGGTACTGGTGGCTCGTGCCTGTAATACTAACTACTCTGGAGGCTAAGATCTGAGTATCACAATTCGAAGCCTGACCAGATAGGAATGTCCCAGAGACTCTTATTCTCAATTAACTACCAGAAAAATCGAGAAATAAGCTATGGATCAAGTGGTAGAGCACTAGCCTTGAGTAAAAAAGCCCAGAGACAGCACCCAGATCCTGAGTTCAAGCTCCAGGAGTGGCATACAAAAAAAAGGAAAAGGTCAAGAAGATGTTTAAGACACTTGAAAGAAGAATAATGGACCCTCATGTACCTGTTTCCCATTTTAAGAAATAATCATTGCAGATTCAGTTGAATCCTCTGATGGTATCTCTTTCTCCTGTTTATGCCATATGTGTTTATGGTGTGTCTTCAACTATACATATATATGGCATAGAAATACTATATATTATATTTGTTTCTAGGCAATTCACAGTATCCTACAGAAGTTATTTTACAGCTTTCTTCTTTGTTTAATGTTATTGAAATTCAGTTATGAATACACTTAACTGGAATATTCATTTGCTATGTAGATTATTACACTGTACAGCTGTTTAGGATTTAGTCATTCAATGGGGACAGGTTTCTAAGTTGATTATTTCTACTAATTTAATAGCTGACACAGTGTTTACCATATTTCACATACTGTACTGAAAGCTTTATAAATGTTACTAGAAACATTTTTACATGAAAATTTCTTTCTTCTTTTTTTTTTTTTTTTTTTGGTCACTTGTGAAGCTTGAACTCTGGGCCTAGGTGCTGTCCCTCAGTTCTTCTCAGTTCTTCAGCTCAAGGCTAGCTAATTCTCTACCACTTGAGTCACAATCAGCTTTTTCTGTTAATGTGCTGAGCAATCAAACCCAGAGCCTCATGCATGCAAGGCAAACACCCTATCACTGAGCCACCTTCCCAGCCCCTACACAAAAATTTCTATATTTCCTAGCAGTGAAATTATTGACAAAGTTGTTAGTTGTTAATCCTTTCTTATTTTTATACTTTGTCAAAGATAAGTGCTGAGTGAGATGTTTTTTCAGCTAACAATAGCAATACAAACCCAGAAACTGAGCTTGAACATCTTTATTTGTAGAGCTACATCTTTATTTGTAGAGCTCATGCTAAAGCCTACCATATTATTAATCTTCCAACAAAATAATCCTTTCAACACTATAGCCAAAGTTTTTTTCTTTTTAATAAGGGTAGTGTGCTACAAAGATAGCAGGGAAATAAATTATTAGCACATCACAAGTATTTCATTGCAGTGCACTGTATTGGGTTAGATTTCATTGATCAGTAAGCAAGTTAAGAGCATGAAGAGTGTTCTTTTTTGTGAGTAAACTTATTTTGTGATTTGAAAACTTTTGTTCTGAATTTAGGTCTTCTACCTGATTATGCTAGCAAGTACGCAGTTTTAAACCATGTTCACAGCTGATACCAGTGGGTTTTGCCTGTAATCCTAGCTACTTAGAGGCTGTGATCTAGAGGATCATAGTTTGAAGCCAACAAGACTCCCACCTCCAAAGTAGCCTGAAAAAAATCCTAGCTGAACATGTGATTCAAGTGGTAAAGCTCCAAACAAGCAAGGAAGCTAAGCAAACACAAGACCCTGAGTTCAAACTTTGAGTGACAACAACAAAAAAAAACAACAAAACAAAACTGAAGCAAACAAAAATGTTTGTGAAGAGATACATACTGTTATGTGATACTTTTTTATTTTCTCTCTGTTCTGCAGGAGTTTAATACCTCTTTTAATGGAGAGACTATTGAAAACATTCCCTAAGAAATTTTACAAATTGGGACTGACTATAGAATTACTTTAACTTAACTGTTACTTTAAATAAAAAAACAAAAAAGATTATAAGGAGCAAGATCCAAGGTAAAGGACTCAAGATGTAGCTTTATGGCAGAGCAGTTAGTTAATACTTAAAGTCCTGGGTTTGATCTCAGCACTGAAAAAGAGAGAAAGACAGGCAGAGGCAAAAGAGAAAGAAAAGATCCAATGCTCAATGTACATTTTAAAGTGTCTTGTTTAATGCTATGTTATAAGTATGTCACAGTGAGTAAATTTGGCAATGACTAGAAATTTTCCTTTGGGAATCAACCCTTTCCAAATCCTACTGTTGTAGAGAATGAATTTTGACCAGTTCACTGGACTCACTGTTCTAAGAGAGGTGAATGTGGACTAACCAGTATGGAAATTGCTTCAATATTTATTTACTCAAAAGATATTTACAGACATCCAGGTGGTAGGTGTATATTTATTAATAAGACAATTTCCTTGCTGCAGCTTACATTCTGCTACCCCATGTGTGTGTTTTCTTGTTTCTAATTTGGTAGGAAAGGACCTATATTATTATACAGAGCAGTTTTGCATGGGCACATTTTCGGAGCTAATTCTAGGACTTTGGCTTGACTGTGATATATAACCACTAGAAGCTGGAATTATACTGACAGTCATACCTACTTGGGAGACTAAGATCAGGAGAATCATGGTTCAAGGCCAGCCTAGGCAAAAAGTTTGTTTTAAATCCCCATCTCAACCAGTAAAAGGCTGGATACAGTGGTGGATATCTGTCAACTCACCTGCTTGGGAAGCATAAATAGGATCAGAGTCCAGGCCAGCCTGACATATACATGAAATACTATTCAGAGAGTAACTAGAGCAAATTGGATGCTGGGGGGTAACTTAACTGGCAAATGGCAGGGCCCTGAATTCAGACCCCAGTGCTACCTAAAAAGCAAAACAAAACAAATATTGATAGTCATATTTCAGAAAAGATAAAATTGGAATGTTTGGAGAAGCAAACCTTTCTTTAGACCTTGTTTTTAAAAACTCAAAATAGCCAGGTACTGGTGGTTCATGCCCATATCCTATCTACTTGGGAGGCTGAGATTGGGAGGATAGAAGTACTACTTGCCTGTCATCCACTGTGTTGAAAAACTTAAAACAGGCAGATCAAGGTCCAGGTAAATGCCTGGACAAGAATCAAGACTTTTATCTAAAAAATAACCTACATGAAAAGGGCCAGAGGTATGGCCCAATGGTAGAGTGCTTGTCTATAAAGTGTGAGGCCCTGAGTTCAAACCACATACCTGTCAAAATAATAAAAATCATTACTAAAGTCTGGTGTAGTGTTTTATGCCTATAATTCCAACCCTTAGGATGTTGACACAGGAAGATTGAGAGTTCCAGGCCAGCTTGGGCTATACAACAAGACCCTGTCTCAAAAATAAATAAATCGTTAGCTACTTTGGCTATTTTGCTGCTGGTTATTGCTGGGAAACATACAAGTACAGTAGCTGAGGTACTTTTTGGTGTTGAACTGATAATTATTTGTTTTACCAAAGGACAAATAAAGCCTTCAATAAGATTTGAGAATATGATCATTGTATGGGCATTTGTCTCTGTCCAAATAACTGATCTGTATTAAGATGCTCAGATGATAGTAATTACTTGGGGTAAGGGATAGCATTTTTTTTTTCAGGAAAGGCTATAAAAACTTGAAGGAATTTGAGTATCTAAAATGTTCCACCAAAAAAGTTAAATTTTTGACTAATTGATAGGATATTAAAAAAAAAATCATGTTTTTGCTAAACAAGATGAGGTGATTGCATATCATGAATGGAATTAATAGAAGGTTATGATGAAAACATGCTGAAGGTGGCTGGCTATATTTATCAATTGCTAACTAGTTCACTCTAGAACATTTCAATTTTATTTCTTCTTGGTAAGGGTTGTGAAAAGAAAGAAGAATTTAAGGAATCATAATTTTGGAGGGTAAAAACTTGAAAAATACTGGGTACTGGTGGCATATGCCTATAATCCTAGGATGCTGAGATCCAAGAATTGGAGTTCAAAGCCAGCCTGGGCAGGAAAGTTCATGAGACATTGCCAATTAACCGGCAATTAGCAGAAAGTGGAGCTATGGCTTTTGTGGTAGAATGCTGGCCTTAAGCCAAAAAGTTTAGAGACGGGGCCCAGGCCCTGAGTTCAATGAGTTCAAACCTTAGGACTAGTAACACACACACACACACACACACACACACCTGAGTTCAAACCCCAGGACTAGTAACACACACACACACACAAAAGATTATCACAGGCTCCATACGTATACACACACACACCCTGAAAGATTATCACAGGCTCCATACGTACACACACACACACACACACACACACACACCCCTGAAAGATTATCACAGGCTCCATACGTACACACACACACACACACACACACACACACACACACACACACACACACACACACACACACACACACACACACACACACACACACACACACACACACACACACACACACACACACACACACACACACACACACACACACACACACACACCCCGAAAGATTATCACAGGCTCCATAATGTAACTATAAAACATTTTTATGCCCTGAGTTCAAACCCCAGGACTAGTACCACACACATACCCTGAAGGATTATCACAGGCTCCATAATATAAAACATTTTTATGCCTTCTTTTATAAGGAGTTTATAGTTTACTTTTTGGGTACTTTTTTTTTTCTTTTCTTTTTTTGTTGGTGATGGGGCTTGAACTCTGGACTTGGGCACTGTCCTTGTGCTCTTCAGCTCAAGGCGAGCGCTCTACCGCTTGAGCCACAGCGCCACTTCTGGTTTTCTAATGGTTTATTGGATATAAGAGTCTCACAGACTTTCCTGCCCGAGCTGGCTTTGAACCGTGATCCTCAGATCTCAGCCTCCTCAGTAGCTAGGATTACAGGCGAGAGCCAATGGCTCCCAGCTCCACTTCCAGTTTTCTAGTGGTTTATTGTAGATAAGAGTCTCAGGAGAAGTGGCACTGTGACTCAAGCTGTAGAGTGCTCGCCTTGAGCTGAAGAGCCGAGGGATAGCGTCCAAGCCCCACGACAGACCAAAAAACAAAAAAGTCTCACGGATTTTCCTGCCCGGGCTGGCTTTGAACTGTGATCCTTAGATTTCAGCCTCCTGAGTAGCCAGGATTACAGGCATGAGCCACTGGCACCCAGATTTTTTTTAGTACATTTTTAATGGAGTTCATCATAACATTTCCATACATGCACATTATGTACTCTGATCTTTTTGTTCCCAAATACCCTCTTACCTCCCTATCCCACTGATCCCATTCCTCTTGCCAAATAGTCTCCATTCTACTTTCAGGTCTATTTATTGTGGTACTGGAGTTTGAACTTAAGGATTTGAGCTTGGTAGGCAGGTACTCTACTACTTGAGCAATACCTCCCACCCTTTTTGATTCATTTGAAAAAAATTTTTTATTGTGAAAATACCGTACAGAGAGGTTACAGTTACAAGGGCAAGGTAATTGAGTACATTTCTTATCAAGCATTGTTGTCTCCTTTGTTTCCCCTTCCCATCCCTTCCCATCCCCACCCCCGATTATTTTTTTTAATAAGATCTCATGTCCAGTCTGATGTGGGCCAAAATCCTGCTATTTATGCTTCCTAGGTAGCTGGGATGATAGACACAGACCACTGCTCCCAGCTTTTTATTGGTTGAGATTGTATCTGGACATTTTTGCCTAGGCAGACCTCCAACCATGATATTTCTGATCTCAGTCTCCCAAGTAGCTAGGATTACAGACATCAGTCACTATACCTGGATTTTTTTAGAAATCTAAATTCCACATGTAAGAGAAAAGATGTAATATGTTTCTGAGTCTAGTTTATTTTGCTTAACATGATGATATCTAATTCTGTCATTTTTCCTGCAGATGACATAATTTTGTTCCTTATGACTGAGCCAAACTCCATTGTTTAGTTTCCTTTTACATAATTTGTTCTTCAAATTTAGGGTATAATTAGACACTTAAGTTACTATCACCTGGGAAACCACAAACAAGCATTTGGAATGTCTTTATATTCAGTTATTTTGTTGGTTGGATGTGCTTTCGTTTTTTGTTGTATTGGTTTTTTTTGGTTTTGTGGGTGGTGTTTTTTTCCAGTCCTGGGGCTTGAACTCAGGGCCTGGGTACTGTCTTTGAGCTTCTTTTGCTCAAGGCTAGCACTCTACCACTTGAGCAACTGTGCCACTTCCAGCTTTTTCTGTTTATGTGGTACTGAGGAATTGAACCCAGGGCTTCATGCATACTAGGCAAGCATTTTACCACTAAGCCACATTCCCAGTGCTTGTTTTTTTGTTTTGAAGCAGAGTCTCACTGTAAGACTTAGGCTAATCTAGAACTCACCCTGTAATCAAGCTGGTCTTAAACTCACAGTCCTCCTGTTTCATATGCCAGAGTGTTCAGATTACAGGTGTGTACCATGTCTAACACATTCAGTTGTATTTTATACTGTATTTAATAGCATAAAATATATTCTCTTTATAAGAAATGTTTTATAAAAATCAGTTTCCAGAGTTAGAGGAAGTATTTACTCGATCTCTTTAAGAGTGTTTTGAACAACTTGAGTAATGAATTTTCTTTACTTTCTCTTTAGTTCTGATACAACACCGCTTTTAAATGGATCAAGCCAAGACAGAATGTTTGAGACAATGGCAATAGAGATTGAACAGCTTTTGGCAAGGGTAAGTGCTTTCTGTATAATGGCCATTCTGCTAGTATCTGAATACTAGATGTAACTGCATTATATTAATGCAGATATGTTTGTTGAAATCATCCATTCAAGGTGTGCTTCTTCCAAAGCTACTGGAGTTTTTTTTTGACAGCCATCTCCATGTTATATGGCTATTATTTTAGCCTTTATGGATTATTTAGGGGAAGTACTGAATTTGGGGTTTTGTTTTGGTTTGTGTTTATTGTCTTGTGGTCTGCCAAAAGGACATATGGGCAAAGAGTTTACTTTTAGCTATTTATAGTGCTTTCTAAAATATTTTCCCTTCTTAGCTTACAGGGGTAAATGATAAAATGGCAGAATATACCAATAGTGCCGGCGTCCCCTCCTTGAATGCAGCACTGATGCATACATTACAACGACATAGAGACATACTACAGGTAAAAACCAAAAGGATATGTTGAAAATAATCTATACAACTTGTGTGTGGGGACAGGAGGGAAAACCTGGGAGAGAGCAAGGGAAGGAGTGACATTGTCCAAAACGGAATATACTCATTACCTGATTTATGTAACTGTAACCCGTCTGTATATCACCTTTATAATAAGAGGGTTTTTTAAGACAAAAAAAGAAAAAGAAAAAAACCCAAAAGGAACCAATCAACAAAATGGTTTTTTAAAGCTCCAGTACCAACACATACTCATTAAGTAAATGTATACAAATAAAAAATATTTTATTTACCTAATGCAGAAGTTTGAATATCAGATTAAAAGCTACCATTATTGTTAGTGGTAAAGCACAAACAGCATTCCCATTAAAGGAAAAAGCAACACAACCGAAGGATGCCTTTTGTCACCACAGATGTATCCCATGATTGTTTTGGTAGTTTTGGGTGGTACAATTAAGCTAAGAGGAGGAGGAGGAGAGAGAAGAGAGAAAAGAGAAATTGGGAAGGAAGAGACAAAATTCCTATAATGAAGCAAGATAAGGTGATATGTCTGGTATACTTAAGAAAATTAAAACCAGGCACTGGTGGCTCATGCCTGTAATCCTAGCTACACAATAAACTGAGATCTGAAGATCACAATTCAAAGCCAACCCAGGCAGGAAAGTCCATGAGACTCTTATCACCAATTAATCACAGAAAAGCTGGAAGTGGTGCTATGGTTCAAGTGGTAGAGTACTAACCTTGAGCAAAAAGGAGCTCAGGGACAGTGCCCAAGCCCAGAATTTGAGCTCCAGGACTGGCCCCCCCCCCCCCAAAAAAAAATTAACTAAATTCCATGAAGTGATAGTTTACTAAATAAATTATCAAAGCAAATATTTTTCCTACATACAAAAAATAACCTGTTAGTATAATAGAAGGGGCAGGGAGTGTAGCTCAGTTACAGAATGCACAAAGCCTTGTGTTCAACCTTTAATGCCAAAAAAAAAGAAAAGAAAACTACTAGAAAGAAACTAAAATCCTTCTGTATAAATTTAATAAGAAATGTGTGGAAATTGTACATGTGAAATTCTACAGAAGGACATAGAAGATTTAAGTATAGAAAGGAATGGAATTATTCTGCTTTTGGACAGGGAGATTTCTTTCAAAATCAACTTACACACTGAATATCATACATTGAAAATAGTTTTTTTTTTAATCTTAGAACTTTTTCCTCAATAGTTCTAGGTCTTATAACAGGGTACTAGAAAATAGGGATGGTAGTTTAAAATTTGCTGTATGATGACAAACCACAACTAGTTCAATGAAATGAACATACATAATTAACTTCTATTGAGACTGGATGTTGATTTATTTCAGGATTACACACATGAGTTCCATAAAACCAAAGCAAATTTTATGGCAATACGGGAAAGGGAAAATCTCATGGGATCAGTACGAAAAGATATTGAGTAAGTTACTTTTTATGTTATTTGTAGAACTTTTTTAAAATTTAGAGTATGTCTATGGTTAATAATCAATTGATTAGTGAAGCCAAGATTTAGATTCTAGGGTTTCTAATTCCCATTTTACTGCCAGTCCTGTGTTGACCCTAGTGTTACCATGAGTCCCTGCTAATCATTACCTTCCTAGTTAATTCAGAGTCCAGCTCAGATAATTCTTTCATGTATTTTCTCATCTCTTACCCTAAAAATTTATTGCCAATATCTGACCTCTCTCTGTTTCCTTCCTGATTACCACCTAACTTTTACTCCTTACTCCAACAGTCACACATTCAGGCAGATATTAATGCAGCCTTGAAATACTGTCACTTTCCTGGCACATCCTTGTGCTTTGTGCCGTAGTGCTGCCTCTCACCAGTCTTTCAGTTCTAACAGCAGCACTCTGTCTCTCTATAGTATTTGTGCAGTTAATAAATTTCATTTTTTTTGGTGCCGGTCCTGGGGCTTGAACTCAAGGCCTGGGCACTGTCCTTGAGCTTTGTTCAAGGCTGGAACTCTACCAATTAAGCCACAGCTCTATTTCCAGCTTTTTGGTAATTTGAGATGAGTCTCACAGTCTTCCCTGGCTTTGAATCTCAATCCTCAGATCTCAGCCTCCTGAGTAGCTAGGATTACAGGCATGATCTACCTACCGGTACCTGGCCAGTTAATGAATTTTTAAAAAATCATTCTTTTCCTTATTAGTAGGAATAAGAAGAACAAAAGTATTCACAGTAGTAATGAAAGACTTTTAAGTTTTTAAAAAGTTTTTGGCAGTACAGGAGTTTGGATCCAGGGCTTCATACTTACTAGGCTCTAGCACTTGAGCCATGACTGCAGTCCTTTTATTTTTATTTTTTTTCCTCTTTTTTGGTCAGTTTTAAAGTGTTGGAGATTAATATTGAAATCTCCCAGTTGGGCAGGGAGGGAAAGAGGGAAGCACTCCTGCTCCATGAGATGTGTGCTTACAGCCTCAAAGTGTGCTTTTACCTGGAGCAAATGAAGGTACAGACAAGGGAGAAAGAAGACGTTTTGTTGCAAGAATTTGGGGTTATTTTGATGAAAAACAGCAAAACATTCGTATTTGTAATAGCAGTTTTAGAAATTTTAAAATATGTACTTTAATTATTCAAAAGTATGAAGACATAGAATTTGTCTCTTGATGTCACTAGGGTAGTTTCTTAATTTGATTTTACAGTATCTTCCGAAAGTGTTCTTAATTTTTCTTTATCTGTTCTAGGTCTTATAAAAGTGGGTCTGGAATAAACAACAGGAGAACGGAATTGTTTTTGAAAGAACATGACCACCTCCGAAAGTAGGTATTTTTGAATGTCTGTGCACTGTCTGTTTTCTCATGCTAGTTCTCCTAACAGCTACTCCAGAGAAGTGAAATTGCAGTGGTTCCAAACATAATTAGGAAAGATAGGATGCTTTTGAGTGTTTTTTTTTCTTTTATTGTTTTCCCCTTCCCATCCCTTCCTATCCTCCCCCCTGCCCCACCCCCACCAAAGTTGTAAAGTTCGTTTTTTTGACATAACGACTTGTACATCTCATTGTTGCAATGGGTCCTCCTGTATCCCTGTTTTAACTATTTGTTTTTTCCCTTCCCCTCCACATATACCAACATCATATATAGTGAAAGCAGAAAGCAGGGGTTGTACCATGGGGGAGGGACATACAAGGCAACAAAGATATAATCTTATAAATATGTTAGAAACAATCGCATGAAAGATCTCTCTCTCTCTCTCTTTTTTTTTTTTTTTTTTTTGTGTCGTGGGGCTTGAACTCTAGGCCTGGGAGCTGTCCCTGAACAATTCAGCTCGAGGCTCATGCTCTACCACTTGAGCCATTGCGCCACTTCTAGTTTTCTGGTGTTTTTTTTTTTTTTATTGTGATTAAGTGATTACATAATTTCCCAAATTTCACAGTATTGTGGAATAATGATGCTCATTTAAAGTCACAAGCTCATTCTAACTTTCCTGGAGCAAATTGTCTATCGCAGTCTATAACATATAACGGTGTACACATACATCATACATGTGATCAGCAGCATGGGGTTATTTAGTAGTGGTTCGACCAGATGAGTGGAAGTTCTTTGTTTCTTAAGTCCTGTTAATTTTGTCGTATCACCTAACATTTTGGATTTAACATCCACTTATCAGGGAGACCATGTACCATTTGTCTCTTTGCTCTTGGCTTACCTCGCTTAACATGTTTTCTTCTAGCTCCATCCATTTCCCTGCAAATGCCATTATTTTGTCATTTCTAATGGCTGCATAATATTCCATTGTGTATAGATACCACAATTTTTGGATCCATTCATCTGTGTGGGGCACCTAGGTTGTTTCCATATCCTAGCTATTGTGAACAGTGCTGCAATAAACATGGAGGTGCACGTGTCCTTGTATATTGGTTCCTGTTATTCAGGGTAGATGCCTAGAAGTGGTATGACTGGGTCGTAAGGGAGGTCAATCTTTAGCTTTCTGAGGACCCTCCAGACTGCTTTCCAAAGTGGTTGTATAAGTATACATTCCCACCAGCAGTGTAATAGGGTTCCTCTTTCTCCACATCCCCTCCAGCATTTGTCGTTGGCTGATCTGTGGATGTGGGACATTCTGACTGGGGTAAGGTGGTATCTCAGGGTTGTCTTTATTTGCATTTCCTCCACCACCAGGGATGGTGAACATTTCCTCATGTGTTTCTTTGCCATTTTTATTTCTTCATCTGAGAAGTCCCTCTTTAGTTCCCTTGCCCATTTAGTAATTGGTTTGTTAGGTTTGAGAGGAATTAGTTTCTTGAGTTCCCTGTATATACTGGATGTTAACCCCTTGTCTGATATATTGCTGGTAAATATTTTTTCCCAATTAGTTGGTTGTCTTTCTAGCTTGGTTGCAATAGATTTAGCTGTGCAGAAGCTTTTTATTTTAAGGTAGTCCCATTTGTCGAGTCTCTCTCCAATTTGTTGTGACCCTGGGATTCTGTTCAGGAAGTTCCTTCCTGTGCCTATTAGTTCAAGTGTCTCTCCTATTCTGTCCTGCAGTAGTTTCAGAGATTCAGGTTTAATGTTAAGGTGCTTTTGAGTGTTTTACTTTACAGGTGTTGAAAGAGGAGGATCTGACACATCCATCCCAGGGGACCATGCAGAGGCAGGCAGGCACAGGAGAAAGATTATTATAAGGTTTATTAGAGGAGACATATTTCCCCCAAGAGGGAGCACATGGCCTCCGTCCCCATCCAGGTAGCAGGAGGGTCTGAGAGATAGGAAGTGAGGTAGATGGGAGTTCAGGTGGGACTGGGCAGAGAGAGGGAGGGGCTCGCTATATGGTGGGAACTCCAGGAATGGGAGGATTCCCTCCCCCCCCATCTGGGAAGAGCTGAGGACCAAAGGTGAGCATAATACTACATTCCCCACTCTGTTGTTTAATAAGAATAGGAGGTATCAGGCCAAGGGGTATGGGCGGAGTTTGTTTCTTCTGGAGCTACTTCCTGCTGTCAAGGGATGAAATAGTCAGGGGTCTCTGCTTTGTTGGTTGGCCTGGTACCATCCATGAAGCATCTATTTGACAGTTTGGTTATTAAAGTCCTCCTTTTTCCATGGCAATAGTTATCTAAAATGTAAGACACAATTAATAAAAGGCAAAAATTGTTGTTAGTACCTCAAGAGAGGATAACATGGAGGGATTGATTTCCAGAAGGGGCTATCAAAGACCTGAAATTGCCATTTCTGTCTCAAATTGGAAACATAGCATGATACCTGACTCCCGGCATCTTGGAGGATGGGGAATAAGACTTTCCTGCTTTAGGATCACAGTAACCTGAGGAGAGGGGTAGCAGAAATATTTAAAGGTACCAGAGCCAACAGGTGTCTTGGGCTCTTTTGGCTACTTCCTGCTGGACTGGGGTCATCAAGGTATCCCTGGAGCTGGGGTCTTTAGGGTCCGGGTCTGTACTGGGCAAGGCAGGGCAGTGTAAGTGATGTCTCTGCTTGCCTGAAGGAACAGGATGGCCTTGAGTTGTTTCCAAATGGTCCTGGGCAGGGGATGTTACCCTGTTGAAAGAGACTTTTGGAAAGATCAGGCAAAAGCTGACAAGGTGACAAGGTCAGTTAACATGAATGACATAGGAGAACACACATTGGCCATGAGCCAGAAACGTTTTATTTGGAGTATAAAGCCCAGTTGTAGCTCATTACAGGGAATGTGAAATAACTGGACTCGGGGCAAGAAGGCAGAAAGGGGGTGTCTAAGGTCTTTTGAGTAACTGGGTAGGGGGAGCATAAAGGACTGTTTGGAAGTACCAGTCAGAAGCTACTATAAATACATATAGCAGGTAGCAAAGGCAAGACTCCTAACTTTTTGCCCAGTTAGAAGATAGACAGTATGGACATTAGGTGGGCAAGCAACTATTTTTCTTGATCTCCCAGCTCTGATTAATTTTGAAAAGGCGAGCATAAAGTGACTCCATTTAGAATGTCATCTCCTCTTACTCCTCTCCATGGTTTTCCATTGTCAGGACTGACTTTGTCCTGGTGGGTGTCTCAGCGTCCATTTCTGGGATAGGTTGTCCTAGTTGGCATTTACGGTTTGGACTCAAGGCCTGGGCATTGTCCCTGAGCATTTCTGCTTGAGGCTAGTGTTCTACCACTTAGGAGTCACAATGCCACTTTCAGCCTTTGGGTGGGTACTTAGAGGTGAGAGTCTCAGGCCATGCCTCCAGCCTGGCTCCTTGCTGATTAGCTGGGAGATGGAGTTTTAGAGGGATTTTTTTGTGCCGGGGATGGCTTTGAACTGTGGCAAAAGGAGACTTTGTTATAAAAGCCCTTTTATCTCCAATTAAAGCAACAAGAAGATCAATGAGATAGGGGTTACCTATAACTTATTAACAATTGACTAACAATTACTTGTCTGGGTTTTTTAAAATAAAACCCAGTAGATGTTATTAACCTGGGACTGATTGGCACTCTAAATACCGCCCACTGCCTCTGGGCGCCTGTTTAAAGTGGCTTATTTACAATATTTAACCTTTAACAAATGTACAGGCCTTTCTTGGGCTACAGCAGCACAGCCTGTTTAACACCTTGGTTTATAAAAGCATTTTTTGGCTGGCGGAGGAACTTGATTTTTAGTGGCCCCAACAATGCCTACCTGTGTAGGCCTTTAGACAGATCTCAAGAAGGACGTAATCTCAACTCTACAAGCTTTTTAACAGATAAATTTAACCAGCTCAAAAGTCACTGCCAATTAGGACTTTGAGCAGATTACAGGGGTTACATTTCTTTAGTAAGACTATCACTCTCAATGCTTTTGTGTATACTATACTAGTAATAACAATAGTAATTATACTGTTAATTTATGTTTGAGTGTTCTATTACTAACATACTAAAGCTTTATAAAGGGTAAGTAGGCTGTGTATCAAATCTAAAAAAGAACTTTTTCTACCATTTCTGAAGAAAATACCTAAGCACTTACGTATGTATTTTAAAACAAGTCACTGTTTCTTTGTTTTGTTTTGACTGCTTCTGGAAATTAAACTGAGCATCCTTATGCATGTTAGACAAATACTCTGCCACTGAGCTATAACCACAGCATACTACTTTGTTTTATCTTCTTGCTTTTATTTTTGTATAACTTAAGGATCAGAAAATCACTTATTTCTGAACTTAGCCTATGAGTATTTGATTTAACTTGTACCCATGATAGTGTTAGGAATAATGTTGATATTTACTACTGCATTTCATGAACTAGTTATGTCATATGAGCTTAAGGTACTGTCAATTCACTTGTTTTTAAAGGTCTCCACTTTAAATATCAGCTGTTAAAATCAGAACATAGAAAAAGCCTAGTGAGATAGTGTATTTCTGTAGTCCCAGCTCTGAGAAGGATTGCTTTAACCCACAAGTTTAAGACCAGCCTGGGTAATATTGAAACCCTGTCTACATACATACCACATGCACAAACAGAGAGAAGAGGGAGGGAAGAGAAAAGAAAGGGAGATCTTTTGTGTGTGTATGTGTGTGGTGCTGGGAATTGAATACAAGATTTTATGCATGTTAGATAAGTGCTCTGCTACAAAACTATACCATCAGCCAATGAAGGTCTTTTTTTGTTTGTTTGTTTGGTCGTGTGGCTTGAACTCTGGGCTTGGGCGCTGTCCCTGCGCTCTTCAGCTCAAGGCTAGCCCTGTACTACTTGAGCCTCGGTGCCACTTCAGGTTTTCTGGTGGTTTATTGGAGATAAGAGTCGTACGGACTTTGCTGCCCAGGCTGGCTTTGAACTATGATCTTCAGATCTCAGCCTCCTGAGTAGCTAAAGTAGC